ATGACCATACGTCAGGCGCTGCTCCCGCACCTCCCGCTACTGCTGACAGTACTGCTCGCTCCCAGTGGCAGACCCGTGATGCACACGCTCGCCTAGCCGTTCGCAGTCACCTACCGTTAGATGAGCGCGAGCACTTCGGACAGCATAAGACCGCCAAGGAGCTGTACGACGCAGTAGTCGCGTGCTACTCCTCCCCTGCCACAGCTGCCATAGGCCGTCTCTCACTGCCCTACCTCTTCCCCGACCTGTCCGCCTTTGCCACTGTAGCTGACCTCATCACCCACCTCCGTACCAGTGACCTCCGCTACCGTGCAGCGCTCCCCCCCAATTTCCTCGCCAAGAACCCCCCCCCGATGTACCTCACACTACCTCACCACCACATCTGCTGCTGCTGTCGACTACCTCGGAGCTGAGAGGGTCGGGGCCGCGTCTGCTCCTAGTGGGAGACGCAAGGGCGGCAGGGGCAAGGGGGGCAAAGGTGGTGGAGGTGGAGGAGGGGGCGGCGGCGGTGGAGGAGGTGGGGGGGGGGGCGGGGGTGGTGGCGGGAGTGGGAGTGGCGCGGGTGGTGGGGGGGTCTGTGGCGGCACAGGGGGTGGTGGTGGCGGCGACGGTGGTGGGGGTGGTGGAGGTGGTGCTGGTAGTGGTGGCGGCGGTGGAGCGGGTGGCGGGCGCGGTGGAGCGGTGCAGCGTGGGGGGTTTGGCGGTGGCCAGAGGCAGCAGCACCAGCGCCCCAGCGAGGCTCCCTCGCCCTAGCAGCTCCGTGAGTGGTACTCTCAGCGTGGGGGGTCTGGGGGAGGGGGTACCTGCCCGTATGTCATCCGCACAGGTGACCGCACTGGCCAGACTTGTGGGAGGTTTCACACTGCGCAGCGCTGTTTCTTTTGCCTCGACGACGCCTGGCGCGAGCAGTTTCCTGACGCCTCTGAGCTGCCCCGCTGGGCTGATCTGCTTAATTGATTATGATGCTATTCTTTGCTGCTATGTATGCATTGACTATTAGTGCTGAGGGTGACTGTTACCTGAGTGTTCCGCCTGACCCGGGCATTGGGACCAGTGAGGCTGCAGCTCTAGGTGCTAGCGCGTCTGCTGCTCTAGGTCCTAGTGAAGCTGCTGCCCTAGGTGCTAGTGCGTCTACGCCTGCTGGTGCCGCACCTACTGAGGCACTGCACACCTTCACACTGGACTTAGGTGCTTCCCGCTGTTTCTTTTGTGACCGCACTGCCCTAGAGCAGCTTCCTCGACCGGTTGCTGTCTCTCTGGCTGACCCCTCAGGGGGTCCGGACCTTGCGACCTCCACCACTGCCCTCCCTTGTCCTGCTGCCTCGTCTGGCACACTGTCGGGCCTCTACCTCCCCTCGTTCTCTACGAACTTGGTGGCGGGTTCCGCACTCCAGGACGCGGGTGTTCACCAGTTCACCTCGGCCTACAAGCGTGTGACGTACTGCACGTGTGCGCGGACGGGACGTCACCTCGCTACCTTCACTCGGCAGCCGGGGTCGGACTTGTACACACTGACCACTGAGTCTCCTCAGGTAGCTGCGTCTGCGTCTGCGTCAGGTCAGCTGTCGGCCCCCTGCTCGTGTCGCTCCTTGTCACACAGGACTGTCCTCTGGCACCACCGCCTTGGTCACCCGTCAGTGCAGCGCCTTCGCGGCATGCACTCCAGGTACCTTGTCTCTGGTCTTCCCAGGGTTCTCCCTCCCCTCCCACCCTCGCCTGCTCCTCCCTGTCTTCCCTGTGTCAAGGGGCGGCAGCACGCTGCTCCTCACTCCTCCTCGTTCCCTCCCACGGAGGCTCCCCTGCAGACTCTCCACCTGGACGTGTGGGGCCCCGCCCGCGTCCGGGGACAGGGCCACGAGCGGTACTTTCTGCTGGTCGTCGACGGCTACACGCGCTACACCACGGTCTTCCCCTTGCGTACCAAGGGTGAGGTCCCTGATGTCTTGATCCCCTGGATCCGCGCTACTCGTCTCCAACTCTGCCAGCGGTTCCAGTCAGACTTTCCAGTCCTGCGTCTGCACTCTGACAGAGGTGGCGAGTTTTCCTCTGACCTCTTGGCAGCCTACTGTGTGGAGCACGGCATCACCCAGTTGTTCACGCTCCCGGCCTCTCCACAGCAGAATGGGATTGCTGAGCGCCGCATTGGTCTTGTCATGGAAGTCGCTCGTACCTCCATGATCCATGCGGTTGCCCCCCATTTCCTGTGGCCGTTTGCAGTGCAGTACGCCGCGCATCAGCTCAACCTCTGGCCCCGTGTCTCTGTTCCGGAGACCTCGCCTACCCTGCGTTGGACGGGGGAGGTTGGCGATGCGTCGGTGTTCCGAGTCTGGGGATGTCGAGCCTTTGTCCGCGATACGTCTGCGGACAAGCTCTCCTCCCGTGCCGTTCCCTGTGTCTTCCTTGGCTTTGTCCCTGACGCGCCTGGCTGGCAGCTTTACCACCCCACCTCGCGCCGGGTCTTCGCCTCTCAGGACGTCACCTTTGACGAGTCGGTACCCTTTTACCGTCTCTTCCCCTACCGCACTGCCCCGCTCCCCCCTCCGCCGCACTTCCTCACGCCAGGTGCTGCTTCGGTAGACCCCCTCCCTCCCCAGGGTCCTCCTCCCTCAGGTGTTTCCCAGGTAGACCCGGTCGAGCCTGTCGAGGTAGCTGTTGACTCTGGTCCTGTGCGAGGTGCTGGGTCTGGGGGCGCTGAGCCTGTGGGTGCTGGTTCTGGGGGCGCTGAGCCTGGGGGTGCTGAGACTGAGGGTGCTGAGACTGGGGGTGTTGAGATTGGGGATGCGGAGACAGCAGGTGCTGAGCCTGGAGGTACTGCGACTGGGGGTGTTGCGCCTAGAGGTGCTGAGGCTGGGGGCTTTGAGACTGACCGTACTGCGCCTACTGGCGCTCCTTCTTCACAGCAGCTGCGTGAGTGGTACTCCCAGCGTTACAGCCTCCGTCGTGGGGCTATTGGAGCTGGGGGGTCTACAGGAGTTGGGACTAGTGGTCCTGCGGGTGCCGTGTCGCAGCCGGAGCCTCCCTCCCCTCAGCGGCTGCGTGAGTGGTACGCTCGGCGCTGCATCCTCCGGAGTGGAGCTCCCGGTGTTGAGGTGCAGCCCGCTGGAGACCCTACTGCTGTTGGAGGTCCTGGAGCTCCTGCTGGTGCTGCTGGTGCTGCTGGTGCTGTTGGAGGTACTGGAGCTGCTGGAGGTACTCCTAGAGGTGCTGGAGGTGCAGGTGGAGCTGCTGGAGGTACTGGAGCTGCTGGAGGTACTGCTGGAGGTGCTGGAGGTGCTGCTGGAGCTGCTCGAGGTTCTGCTGGAGCTGCTGGAGGTTCTGGTGCTGTCTCTGCTGCTGCTGGGGGCACTTCACGGCTACGGCCGTACTTCGTTCCGCTCCTTCAGCAGGTTCTTGGTCAGCCGCCTCCTCCTAGTCCTCCTCCCTCCGTAGAGTGTCCTCCGCCTGTCCAGTCACAGTCACAGCTACCGCCTGCCTCGCCGCTTCCTGGTCCTTCTCCCTACACTGGTCCGACAGGCGAGCTTACAGAGCGTCGTGAGCCTGAGTCTCGTCCTGTGTCACCTGTGTCCCTTCCTGTGTCACCTTTTCGTACTGCTAGCGCTAGTGGCCGTGTACCACGTGTGCGTCCGCCATCTGTCCCTGGCACACACCGGATGTCACTGCGTCCCTCCACAGCTCCACAGCGTGTCCCTTTGCCGTCTCCTCCTCCATCCTCTCTTCCTACCCTTGCTGACCCAGAGTCTGACTCCGTTCGTGCTGCCAGTCCTACTGTCACGCGTCTCCTGGCCAGTGCTGTCACTAACCCTCCTTTTGAGTCGGCTGCTGCGTCTGCCCTCGTTGCTGAGCTTGTCGACTTTGCTGCTCGCTGTCGTCTAGACTACGCTGCCAGTCTTGTTGCTGAGTCTGAGTCTGTCTTTCCTCCGTCCGTCGGGGGTGAGTGTGCTCTTAGCACGGACGTCCTTGAGGACAGACGCAAGGACCTTGAGTGTCTTGCATCCGCTGCGCCCCATCTCGTGTCCATGCTGATTGCCCCTGAGGGAGACCCGGATGCACCAGACATCCCGACTCCTCGATCGTACGCTGAGGCGATCGAGGGTCCCTACTCCTCATAGTGGCAGTCAGCCATGGACGCAGAGATGGCTTCCTGGAAGTCCACAGGCACCTACGTCGACGAGGTTCCCCCACCTGGGGCGAACATCGTCAATGGCATGTGGATTTTCAGGGTGAAGCGGCCGCCGGGTTCTCCGCTTGTCTTCAAGGCTCGTTACGTTGCTCGAGGCTTCAGTCAGCGAGAGCGAGTAGACTTCTTTCAGACCTTCTCCCCCACCCCGAAGATGACCACTCTTCGGGTACTACTGCACGTTGCTGCTCAGCGTGACTACGAGCTGCACTCTCTTGACTTCAGCACAGCTTTCTTGCAGGGCAGTCTGCACGAGGAGATCTGGATGCGCCGCCCTCCTGGCTTCACTGGGTCGTTCCCTGCAGGTACCCAGTGGAGCCTCCGGCGGCCGACCTACGGTCTCCGCCAGACGCCACGTGAGTGGCACGACACACTGAGGACTACTCTTGCGGCACTTGGGTTCTCTCCTTCTACTGCTGACCCTTCGCTGTTTCTGCGCACCGACACTTTGCTGCGGCCGTTCTACATCCTCGTGTACGTCGACGACTTGGTCTTTGCCACTGCTGACACTGAGTCTCTTGCCCACGTGAAGTCGGAGCAGCAGAAGAGACACACGTGCAAAGACCTGGGTGAACTGCGCAGCTACCTTGGCTTGCAGATCACCCGGGACAGAGCACGCCGCACCATTACCCTGACTCAGTCACACATGGTGCAGCAGGTCCTTCAGCGCTTCGGCTTCACCTGGTCCTCAGCACAGGCCACTCCTCTGGCTGTAGGTCACTCGCTCTCAGCTCTGCCTTCGGATGAGTCCGTAGAGCCGAGTGGTCCTTATCCAGAGCTAGTTGGTTGCCTCATGTACCTGATGACTTGCACTCGTCCTGACCTAGCATACCCTCTTGGCCTTCTGGCCCGCTACGTAGCTCCTGGCAGGCACCGAAAGGTGCACTGGGATGCTGCAAAGAGGGTATTGCGCTACTTCTACAGTACATCGGGCATGGGGCTCGTGCTTGGAGGAGGGAGCTCAGTTGTTCTCACTGGGCACTCAGACGCTTCTTGGGTTGACGACCAGGCTACTCAGCGGTCGTCACAGGGTTACACCTTCAGCCTTGATTCTGGCTCAGTTTCGTGGCGCTCTACGCGTTCGTCTTTAGTTCTCAGCTCCAGTTGTGAGGCTGAGATCTACGCCACAGCCATGGCTGCACAGGAGTTACGATGGCTCACCTACCTGCTGATCGACCTTGGAGAGAGGCCTAGTTCTCCTCCAGTGCTGTACGTCGACAACAAGGCTGCCATTGCCTTGTGTGAGGAGCACAGACTAGAGAACAGAACGAAGCACATCCCTCTCCGTTACTTCCTTGCTCGAGAGCTGCAGCAGCGTGGTCAGCTTCGTCTGCGTTACGTGGCCTCTCAGGCCAACACCGCTGATATATTCACCAAGGCATTTCAGCCTGGTGATCATCACCGCTTCTGTACTTTGCTGGGGCTGGTGCCCACTTATGGGGCGGGGTGATAGAAGGAGGGAGAATAGGGCGGGGCACTAGATGGCGGGAGAATGGGGCGGGGTGATGGAAAGTGGGAGAATGGGGCGGGGTGATGGAAAGCGGGATAATGGGTCGGGGTGATGGAAGGAGGGAGAATGGGGCGGGGAGATGGAAAGCGGGAGAAAGGGGCGAGGTGATGGAAAGCGGGAGAATTGGGCGGGGTGATGGAAAGCGGGAGAATGGGGCAGGGTGATGGAAGGCGGGAGAACGGGGTGGGGTGATGGAAAGCGGGAGAATGGGGCAGGGTGATGGAAAGCGGGAGAATGGGGTGGGGTGATGGAAAGCAGGAGAATGGGCAGGGTGATAGAAAGCGGGAGAATGGGGCGGGGTGATAGAAGGAGGGAGAATGGGGCAGGGCACTGGATAGCGGTAGTATGGGGCGGGGTGATGGAAAGCGGGAGAATGGGGCGGGGTGATGGAAAGCGGGAGAATGGAAGGAGAGAGAATGGGGCGGGGTGATGGAAGGAGTGAGAATGGGGTGGTGCGATGGAAAGCGGGAGAATGGGCGGGGTGATAGAAAGCGGGAGAATGGGGCGGGATGATGGAAGGAGGGAGAGTGGGGCGAGGTGATGGAAAGCGGGAGAATGGGGCGGGGTGATGGAAAGCGGGAGAATTGGGTGGGGTGGTAGAAGGAGGGAGAATGGGGCGGGTTGACGGAAAGCAGGAGAAAGGGCGGGGTGATGGAAAGCGGGAGAATGGGGCGGGGTGATAGAAGGAGGGAGAATTAGGCGGGGCACTAGATGGCGGGAGAATGGGGCGGGGTGATGGAAAGCGGGAGAATGGGGCGGGGTGATGGAAAGCGAGAGAATGGGGCGGGGTGATGGAAAGCGGTTGAATGGGGCGGGGTGATGGAAGGAGGGAGAATGGGGCGGGGTGATGGAAGGAGTGATAATGGGGTGGGGCGATGGAAAGCGGGAAAATGGGGCGGGGTGATGGAAAGTGGATAATTGGGGCAGGGTGATGGAAAGTAGGAGAATAGTGCATGATGATGGATAGCGGGAAAATGGGGCGGGGTGATGGAAAACGGGAGAATGAAGTGGGGTGATGGAAAGCGGGAGAATTGGGTGGGGTGATGGATAGCGGGAGAATGGGGCGGGGTGATGGAAAGGGGGAGAATGGGACGGGGTGATGGAAAGCGGTTGAATGGGGCGGGGTGATGGAAGGAGGGAGAATGGGGTGGTGCGATGGAAAGCGGGAGAACGGGCGGGGTGATGGTAAGCAGGAGAATGGGGCGGGGTGATGGAAGGAGGGAGAATGGGGCGGGGTGATGGAAAGCTGGATAATGGGGCGGGTTGATGGAAAGCGGGAGAATTGGGTGGGGTGATGGAAAGCGGGAGAATGGGGCGGGGTGATGGAAAGCGGGAAAATGCGGCGGGGTGATGGAAAGCAGGAGAATGGGGTGGGGTGATGGAAAGCAGGAGAAAGGGGCGGGGTTATGGAAAGCGGGAGAATGGGGCTGGGTGATGGAAGGAGGGAGAATGGGGCGGGGTGATGGAAGCAGGGAGAATGGGGGAGGGGTGATGGAAAGTGGGAGAAAGGGGCGGGTTGATGGAAAGCGGGAGAATGAAGTGGGGTGATGGAATGCGGGAGAATGGGGCGGGGTGATGGAAGGAGGGAGAATGGGGCGGGGTGATGGAAGGAGGGAGAATGGGGCGGGGTGATGGAAAGCGGGAGAATGGGGCGGGGTGATGGAAATCTAGAGAACGGGGCGAGGTGATGGAAGGCGGGAGAATGGGGCGGGGTGATGGAAAACGGGAGAATGAAGTGGGGTGATGGAATGCGGGAGAATGGGGCGGGGTGATGGAAGGAGGGAGAATGGGGCAGGGTGATGGAAAGCTGGATAATGGGGCGGGTTGATGGAAAGCGGGAGAATTGGGTGGGGTGATGGAAAGCGGGAGAATGGGGCGGGGTGATGGAAAGCGGGAGAATGCGGCGGGGTGATGGAAAGCAGGAGAATGGGGTGGGGTGATGGAAAGCAGGAGAAAGGGGCGGGGTTATGGAAAGCGGGAGAATGGGGCTGGGTGATGGAAGGAGGGAGAATGGGGCGGGGTGATGGAAGCAGGGAGAATGGGGGAGGGGTGATGGAAAGTGGGAGAATGGGGCGGGTTGATGGAAAGCGGGAGAATGAAGTGGGGTGATGGAATGCGGGAGAATGGGGCGGGGTGATGGAAGGAGGGAGAATGGGGCGGGGTGATGGAAGGAGGGAGAATGGGGCGGGGTGATGGAAAGCGGGAGAATGGGGCGGGGTGATGGAAATCTAGAGAACGGGGCGGGGTGATGGAAGGCGGGAGAATGGGGCGGGGTGATGGAAAACGGGAGAATAAAGTGGGGTGATGGAATGCGGGAGAATGGGGCGGGGTGATGGAAGGAGGGAGAATGGGGCAGGGTGATGGAAGGAGGGAGAATGGGGCGGGGTGATGGAAAGCGGGAGAATGGGGCGGGGTGATGGAAATCGGGAGAACGGGGCGGGGTGATGGAAGGCGGGAGAATGGGGCGGGGTGATGGAAAGTGGGAGAATGGTGCGGAGTGATGGAAAGCGGGAGAATGGGGCGGGCGATGGAAAGCGGGAGAATGGGGCAGGGTGATGGAAAGCGGGAGAATGGGGCGGGGTGATGGAAAGCGGGAGAATGGGACGGGGTGATGGAAAGCGGGAGAATGGGGCGGGGTGATGGAAAGCAAGAGAATGGGGCGGGTGATGGAAAGCGGTTGAATGGGGCGGGGTGATGGAAGGAGGGAGTATGGGGCAGGGTGATCGAAGGAGTGATAATGGGGTGGGGCGATGGAAAGCGGGAGAATGGGGCGGGGTGATGGAAAGCGGATGAATGGGACAGGGTGATGGAAAGCGGGAGAATAGTGCGGGATGATGGATAGCGGGAAAATGGGGCGGGGTGATGGAAAACGGGAGAATGAAGAGGGGTGATGGAAAGCGGGAGAATGGGACGGGGTGATGGAAAGCGGGAGAATGGGGCGGGGTGATGGAATGCAGGAGAATGGGGCGGGGTGATGGAAGGAGGGAGAATGGGGTGGGGTGATGGAAAGCGGGAGAATGGGGCGGGGTGATGGAAATCGGGAGAACGGGGCGGCGTGATGGAAAGCGGGAGAATGGGGCGGAGTGATGGAAAGCGGGAGAATGGGGCGGGTGATGGAAAGCGAAAGAATGGGGTGGGGTGATGAAAAGCAGGAGAATGGGGCGGGGTGATGGAAGGAGGGAGAATGGGGCGGAGTGATGGAAGGAGGGAGAATGGGGCGGGGTGATGGAAAGCGGGAGAATTGGGCGGGGTGATGGAAAGCGGGAGAATGGGGTGGGGTGATGGAAGGCGGGAGAAAGGGGCGGGGTGATGGAAGGAGGGAGAATGGGGCGGGGTGATGGAAAGCGGGAGAATAGGGCGGGGTGATGAAAAGCGGGAGAATGGGGCGGGGTGATGGAAAGCGGGAGAATGGGGCGGGGTGATGGAAAGCGGGAGAATGGGACGGGGTGCTGGAAAGCGGGAGAATGGGGCGGGGTGTTGGAAAGCGGGAGAATGGGGCGGGGTGATGGAAAGCAGGAGAATGGGGCGGGATGATGGAAAGCGGGAGAATGGGGCGGGTTGATGGAAAGCGGGAGAATCGGGCGGGGTGATGTAAAGCGGGAGAATAGGGCGGGGTGATGAAAAGAGGTTGAATGGGGCGGGGTAATGGAAATCGGGAGAATGGGGCGACTTGATGGAAAGAGGGAGAATGGGGCGGGGTGATGGAAAGCGGGAGAATGAGGTGGGGTGATGGAAAGCGGGAGGATGGGGTGGGGTGATGGAAAGCGGGAGAATGGGGCGGGGTGATGGAAGGAGGGAGAATGGGGCGGGGTGAAGGAAGGAGGGAGAATGGGGCGGGATGATGGAAAGCGGGAGAATGGGGCGGGGTGATGGAAAGCGGGAGAATGGGGCGGGGTGATGGAAAGCGGGACAATGGGGCAGGGTGATGGAAAGCGGGAGATTGGGGCAGGGCGATCGAAAGCAGGAGAATGGGGTGGGGTGATGGAAAGCGGGAGAATGGGGCGGGGTGATGGAAAGCGGGAGAATTGGGGGGGGGGGTGATGAAAGGAGGCAGAATGGAACGGGGTGATGGAAAGCGGGAGAATGGGGCGGGGTAATGGAAAGCGGGAAAATGGGGCGGGGTGATGGAAAGCCGGAGTATGGGGCGGGGTGATGGAAAGCGGGAGAATGGGGCGGGTTGATGAAAAGCGGGAGATAGGGGCAGGGTGATGGAAAACGGGAGAATGAAGTGGGGTGATGGAAAGCGGGAGAATGGGGCGGGGTGATGGAAAGCGGGAGAATGGGGCGGGGTGATGGAATGCAGGAGAATGGGGCGGGGTGATGGAAGGAGGGAGAATGGGGCCGGGTTATGGAAAGCGGGAGAATGGGGCGGGGTGATGGAAATCGGGAGAACGGGGCGGGGTGATGGAAAGCGGGAGAATGGGGCGGAGTGATGGAAGGCGGGAGAATGGGGCGGGCGATGGAAAGCGGGAGAATGGGGTGGGGTGATGAAAAGCAGGAGAATGGGGCGGGGTGATGGAAGGAGGGAGAATGGGGCGGAGTGATGGAAGGAGGGAGAATGGGTCGGGGTGATGGAAAGCGGGAGAATTGGGCGGGTGATGGAAAGCGGGAGAATGGGGCGGGGTGATGGAAGGCGGGAGAAAGGGGCGGGGTGATGGAAGGAGGGAGAATGGGGCGGGGTGATGGAAAGCGGGAGAATAGGGCGGGGTGATGAAAAGCGGGAGAATGGGGCGGGGTGATGGAAAGCGGGAGAATGGGGCGGGGTGATGGAAAGCGGGAGAATGGGACGGGGTGCTGGAAAGCGGGAGAATGGGGCGGGGTGCTGGAAAGCGGGAGAACGGTGCGGGGTGATGGAAAGCAGGAGAATGGGGCGGGATGATGGAAAGCGAGAGAATATGGCGGGTTGATGGAAAGCGGGAGAATCGGGCGGGGTGATGTAAAGCGGGAGAATAGGGCGGGGTGATGAAAAGAGGGAGAATGGGGCGGGGTAATGGAAATCGGGAGAATGGGGCGACGTGATGGAAAGAGGGAGAATGGGGCGGGGTGATGGAAAGCGGGAGAATGGGGTTGGGTGATGGAAAGCGGGAGGATGGGGTGGGGCGATGGAAAGCGGGAGAATGGGGCGGGGTGATGGAAGGAGGGAGAATGGGGCGGGGTGATGGAAAGCGGGAGAATGGGGCGGGGTGATGGAAAGCGAGAGAATGGGGCGGGGTGATGGAAAGCGGGACAATGGGGCAGGGTGATGGAAAGCGGGAGATTGGGGCGCGGCGATGGAAAGCAGGAGAATGGGGTGGGGTGATGGAAAGCGGGAGAATGGGGCGGGGTGATGGAAAGCGGGAGAATTGGGGGGGGGTGATGGAAGGAGGGAGAATGGAACGGGGTGATGGAAAGCGGGAGAATGGGGCGGAATGATGGAAAGCGGGAGAATGGGGCGGGGTAATGGAAAGCGGGAAAATGGGGCGGGGTGATGGAAAGCCGGAGTATGGGGCGGGGTGATGGAAAGCGGGAGAATGGGGCGGGGTGATGAAAAGCGGGAGATAGGGGCGGGGTGATGGAAGGAGGGAGAATGGGGCGGGGTGATGTAAGGAGGGAGAATGGGGTGGGGTGATGGAAAGCGGGAGAATGGGGAGGGATGATGGAAAGCGAGAATGGGGCAGGGCGATGGAAAGCGGGAGAATGGGGCGGGGTGATGGAAAGCGGGAGAATGGGGCGGGGTGATGGAATGCAGGAGAATGGGGCGAGGTGATGGAAGGAGGGAGAATGGGGCGGGGTGATGGAAAGCGGGAGAATGGGGCGGGGTGCTGGAAATTGGGAGAACGGGGCAGGGTGATGGAAGGCGGGAGAATGGGGCGGGGTGATGGAAAGCGGGAGAATGGGACGGAGTGATTGAAAGCGGGAGAATGGGGCGGGCGATGGAAAGCGGGAGAATGGGGTGGGGTGATGAAAAGCAGGAGAATGGGGCGGGGTGATGGAAGGAGGGAGAATGGGGCGGAGTGATGGAAGGAGGGAGAATGGGGCGGGGTGATGGAAAGCGGGAGAATTGGGCGGGGTGATTGAAAGCGGGAGAATGGGGCGGGGTGATGGAAGGCGGGAGAAAGGGGCGGGGTGATGGAAGGAGGGAGAATGGGGCGGGGTGATGGAAAGCGGGAGAATAGGGCGGGTTGATGAAAAGCGGGAGAATGGGGCGGGGTGATGGAAAGCGGGAGAATGGGGCGGGGTGATGGAAAGCGGGAGATTGGGACGGGGTGCTGGAAAGCGGGAGAATGGGGCGGGGTGCTGGAAAGCGGGAGAACGGGGCGGGGTGATGGAAAGCGGGAGAATGGGGCGGGATGATGGAAAGCGGGAGAATGGGGCGGGTTGATGGAAAGAGGGAGAATAGGGCGAGGTGATGTAAAGCGGGAGAATAGGGCGGGGTGATGAAAAGAGGGAGAATGGGGCGGGGTAATGGAAATCGGGAGAATGGGGCGACGTGATGGAAAGCGGGAGAATGGGGTGGGGTGATGGGAAGCAGGAGGATGGGGTGGGGTGATGGAAAGCGGGAGAATGGGGCGGGGTGATGGAAGGAGGGAGAATGGGGCGGGGTGATGGAAGGAGGGAGAATGGGGCGGGGTGATGGAAAGCGGGAGAATGGGGCGGTGTGATGGAAAGCGGGAGAATGGGGCGGGGTGATGGAAAGCGGGAGAATGGGGTGGGGAGATGGAAAGCAAGACAATGGGGCAGGGTGATGGAAAGCGGGAGATTGGGGAGGGGCGATGGAAAGCGGGAGAATGGGGTGGGGTGATGGAAAGCGGGAGAATGGGGCGGGGTGATGGAAAGCGGGAGAATTGGGGGGAGTGATGGAAGAAGGGAGAATGGAACGGGGTGATGGAAAGCGGGAGAATGGGGCGGAATGATGGAAAGCGGGAGAATGGGGCGGGGTAATGGAAAGCGGGAAAATGGGGCGGGGTGATGGAAAGCCGGAGTATGGGGCGGGGTGATGGAAAGCGGGAGAATGGGGCGGGGTGATAAAAAGCGGGAGATAGGGGCGGGGTGATGGAAGGAGGGAGAATGGGGCGGGGTGATGGAAGGAGGGAGAATGGGGCGGGGTGATGGAAAGCGGGAGAATGGGGCGGGATGATGGAAAGCGAGAATGGGGCAGGGCGATGGAAAGCGGGAGAATGGGGCGGGGTGATGGAAAGCGGGAGAATGGGGCGGGGTGATGGAATGCAGGAGAATGGGGCGAGGTGATGGAAGGAGGGAGAATGGGGCGGGGTGATGGAAAGTGGGAGAATGGGGCGGGGTGCTGGAAATCGGGAGAACGGGGCGGGGTGATGGAAGCCGGGAGAATGGGGCGGGGTGATGGAAAGCGGCAGAATGGGGCGGAGTGATGGAAAGCGGGAGAATGGGGCGGGCGATGGGAAGCGGGAGAATGGGGTGGGGTGATGAAAAGCAGGAGAATGGGGCGGGGTGATGGAAGGAGGGAGAATGGGGCAGAGTGATGGAAGGAGGGAGAATGGGGCGGGGTGATGGAAAGCGGGAGAATTGGGCGGGGTGATGGAAAGCGGGAGAATGGGGCGGGGTGATGGAAGGCGGGAGAAAGGGGCGGGGTGATGGAAGGAGGGAGAATGGGGCGGGGTGATGGAAAGCAGGAGAATTGGGCGGGGTGATGGAAAGCGGGAGAATGGGGCGGGGTGATGGAAGGCGGGAGAAAGGGGCGGGGTGATGAAAGGAGGGAGAATGGGGCGGGGTGATGAAAAGCGGGAGAATGGGGCGGGGTGATGGAAAGCGGGAGAATGGGGCGGGGTGATGGAAAGCGGGAGAATGGGGCGGGGTGCTAAAAAGCGGGAGAACGGGGCGGGGTGATGGAAAGCGGGAGAATGGGGCGGGATGATGGAAAGCGGGAGAATGGGGCGGGTTGATGGAAAGAGGGAGAATAGGGCGGGGTGATGTAAAGCGGGAGAATAGGGCGGGGTGATGAAAAGAGGGAGAATGAGGCGGGGTGATGAAAAGAGGGAGAATGGGGCGACGTGATGGAAAGCGGGAGAATGGGGTGGGGTGATGGAAAGCGGGAGGATGGGGTGGGGTGATGGAAAGCGGGATAATGGGGCGGGGTGATGGAAGGAGGGAGAATGGGGCGGGGTGATGGAAGGAGGGAGAACGGGGCGGGGTGATGGAAAGCGGGAGAAAGGGGCGGTGTGATGGAAAGCGGGAGAATGGGGCGGGGTGATGGAAAGCGGGAGAATGGGGCGGGGTGATGGAAAGCGAGACAATGGGGCAGGGTGATGGAAAGCGGGAGATTGGCGCAGGGCGATGGAAAGCGGGAGAATGGGGTGGGGTGATGGAAAGCAGGAGAATGGGACGGGATGATGGAAAGCGAGAATGGGGCAGGGCGATGGAAAGCGGGAGAATGGGGCGGGGTGATGGAAAGCGGGAGAATGAGGCTGGTTGATGGAAAGCGGGAGAATGGGGCGGGGTGCTGGAAAGCGGGAGAATCGGACAGGGTGCTGGGAAGCGGGAGAATGGGGCGGGGTCATGGAAAGCGGGAGAATGAGGCAAGGTGATGGAAAGTGGGAGAATGTGGCGGGGTGATGGAAAGCGGGAGAATGTGGCGGGGTGATAGAAAGCGGGAGAATGGGGCGGCGTGATGGAAAGAGGGAGAACGGGGAGGGGTGATGGCAAGCAGGAGAATGGGACAGGGTGATGGAAAGCGGGAGAATGGGGTGGGGTGATGGAAAGCGGGAGGATGGGGTGGGGTGATGGAAAGCGGGAGAATGGGGCGGGGTGATGGAAGGAGGGAGAATGGGGAGGGGTGATGGAAGGAGGGAGAATGGGGCGGGGTGATGGAAAGCGGGAGAATGGGGCGGTGTGATGGAAAGCGGGAAGGCGGGGTGATGGAAAGCGGGAGAATGGGGCGGGGTGATGGAAAGCGGGAGAATGGGGCGGGGTGATGGAAAGCGAGACTATGGGGCAGGGTGATGGAAAGCGGGAGATTGGGGCGGGGCGATGGAAAGCGGGAGAATGGGGTGGGGTGATGGAAAGCGGGAGAATGGGACGGGATGATGGAAAGCGAGAATGGGGCAGGGCGATGGAAAGCGGGAGAATGGGGCGGGGTGATGGAAAGCGGGAGAATGTGGCGGGTTGATGGAAAGCGGGAGAATGGGGCGGGGTGCTGGAAAGCGGGAGAATGGGACAGGGTGCTGGAAAGCGGGAGAATGGGGCGGGGTGATGGAAAGCGGGAGAATGAGGCGAGGTGATGGAAAGTGGGAGAATGGGGCGGGGTGATGGAAAGCGGGAGAATGTGGCGGGGTGATAGAAAGCGGGAGAATGGGGCGGCGTGATGGAAAGAGGGAGAACGGGGAGGGGTGATGGCAAGCAGGAGAATGGGACAGGGTGATGGAAAGCGGGAGAATGGGGCGGGGTGATGGAAGGAGGGAGAATGGGGCGGGGTGATTGAAGGAGGGAGAATAGGGCGGGGTGATGGAAAGCGGGAGAATGGGGCGGGGTGATGGAAAGCGGGAGAATGGGGTGGGGTGATGGAAAGCGGGAGAATGGGCAGGGTGATGGAAAGCGGGAGAATGGGGCGGGGTGATAGAAGGAAGGAGAATGGGGCGGGGCACTAGATGGCGGAAGAATGGGGCGGGGTGATGGAAAGCGGGAGAATGGGGCGGGGTGATGGAAAGCGGGAGAATGGGTCGGGGTGATGGAAGGAGGGAGAATGGGGCGGGGAGATGGAAAGCGGGAGAATGGGGCGGGGTGATGGAAAGCGGGAGAATTGGGCGGAGTGATGGAAAGCAGGAGAATAGGGCAGGGTGATGGAAGGCGGGAGAATGGGGTGGGGTGATGGAAAGCGGGAGAATGGGGCGGGGTGATGGAAAGCAGGAGAATGGGGCAGGGTGATGGAAAGCGGGAGAATGGGGTGGGGTGATGGAAAGCAGGAGAATGGGCGGGGTGATGGAAAGCGGGAGAATGGGGCGGGATGATAGAAGGAGGGAGAATGGGGCGGGGCACTGGATAGCGGTAGTATGGGGCGGGGTGATGGAAAGCGGGAGAATGGGGCGGGGTGATGGAAAGCGGGAGAATGGGACGGGGTGATGGAAAGCGGTTGAATGGGGCGGGGTGATGGAAGGAGGGAGAATGGGGCGGAGTGATGGAAGGAGTGAGAATGGGGTGGTGCGATGGAAAGCGGGAGAATGGGCGGGGTGATGGAAAGCGGGAGAATGGGGCGGGTTGAAGGAAGGAGGGAGAATGGGGTGCTGTGATGGAAAGCGGGAGAATGGGGCGGGGTGATGGAAAGCGGGAGAATTGGGTGGGGTGACTGAAAGCGGGAGAATGGGGAGGGGTGATGGAAAGCGGGAGAATGCGGCGGGGTGATGGAAACCGGGAGAATGGGGTGGGGTGATGGAAAGCGGGAGAATGGGGCAGGGTGATGGAAAGAGGGAGAATGGGGCGGGGTGATAGAAGGAGGGAGAATGGGGCGGGGCACTAGATGGCGGAAGAATGGGGCGGGGTGATGGAAAGCGGGAGAATGGGTCGGGGTGATGGAAAGCGGGTGAATGGGTCGGGGTGTTGGAAGGAGGGAGAATGGGGCGGGGAGATGGAAAGCGGGAGAATGAGGCGGGGTGATTGAAAGCGGGAGAATTGGGCGGGGTGATGGAATGCGGGAGAATGGGGCAGGGTGATGGAAGGCGGGAGAATGGGGTGGGGTGATGGAAAGCGGGAGAATGGGGAGGGGTGATGGAAAGCAGGAGAATGGGGCAGGGTGATGGAAAGCGGGAGAATGGGGTGGGGTGATGGAAAGCGGGAGAATGGGGCGGGGTGATAGAAGGAGGGGGAATGGGGCAGGGCACGGGATAGCGGTAGTATGGGGCGGGGTGATGGAAAGCGGGAGAATGAGGCGGGGTGATGGAAAGCGGGAGAATGGGACGGGGTGATGGAAAGCGGTTGAATGGGGCGGGGTGATGGAAGGAGGGAGAATGGGGCGGAGTGATGGAAGGAGTGAGAATGGGGTGGTGCGATGTAAAGCGGGAGAATGGGCGGGGTGATGGAAAGCGGGAGAATGGGGCGGGTTGAAGGAAGGAGGGAGAATGGGGTGCTGTGATGGAAAGCGGGAGAATGGGGCGGGGTGATGGAAAGCGGGAGAATTGGGTGGGGTGACTGAAAGCGGGAGAATGGGGAGGGGTGATGGAAAGCGGGAGAATGCGGCGGGGTGATGGAAACCGGGAGAATGGGGTGGGGTGATGGAAAGTGGGAGAATGGGGCGGGGTGATGGAAAGAGGGAGAATGGGGCGGGGTGATGGAAGCAGGGAGAATGGGGGAGGGGTGATGGAAAGCGGGAGAATGGGGCGGGGTGATGGAAAGTGGGAGAATGGGGCAGGGTGATGGAAAGCGGGAGAATCGGGCGGGATGATGGAAAGCGGGAGAATGGGGCGGGTTGATGGAAAGCAGGAGAATGGGCGGGGTGATGAAAAGCGGGAGATTGGGGCGGGGTGATAGAAGGAGGGAGAATGGGGCGGGGCACTAGATGGCGGGAGAATGGGGCGGGGTGATGGAAAGCGGGAGAATGGGGCGGGGTGATGGAAAGTGAGAGAATGGGGCGGGGTGATGGAAAACGGTTGAATGGGGCGGGATGATGGAAGGAGGGAGAATGGGGCGGGTTGATGGAAGGAGTGATAATGGGGTGGGGCGATGGAAAGCGGGAGAATGGGGCGGGGTGATGGAAAGCGGATGAATGGGGCAGGGTGATGGAAAGCGGGAGAATAGTGCGGGATGATGGATAGCGGGAAAATGGGGTGGGGTGATGGAAAACGGGAGAATAAAGTAGGGTGATGGAAAGCGGGAGAATGGGGCGGGGTGATGGAAAGCGGGAGAATGGGTCGGGGTGATGGAATGCGGGAGAATGGGGCGGGGTGATGGAAGGAGGGAGAATGGGATTGGAGTCAGTGGTCATGCAAGCACGGGTGGGAGGGTGGGTGGGAGCTCAATTGCATTACACCATACATGTGGAGAAGGGCACACGCACACGCCCACTGCTTCCTACTTAGCCTCTGCCCTCCGTCACATGCTCCCCACCCACCCAGTCCACTAGGTTAGGTCTTCTACTTCAACAACACTAGGTTATAACCTTTCCAATCCACATTGTTTGGGAGATTTCATAGTTCCAGCTCCGCCTTGTACCTACACACAAGCGTGCATACTGACTTTACAGGCCGACGCATTATTTTCTCTGTACAAATACAACAAATATCATATGTATTCCCATTTCATTTAAATTTATACCATTCCCTACCTCCCTACCATGTTTTAACCTATCAGATCTATGTAATTTTGCAGATATAGACATTCCAGTCGTACATGGTACCTGCACTACAAGCGCGCATACCGACCAAAATGACCAGCGCATTACTTATGTTTCTAGAAATGCAGTTAGTACCATATATTTGCCAATCCACTAGACTAGGCCTTCTACTTCAACAACACTAGGTTATAACCTTTCCGATCCACATCATTTGGGAGATTTCAGAGTTCCAGTTCCGCCTTGTACCTACAAACAAGAGTGCATAATGACCTTACCAGCCGACGCATTATTCTCTCTGTACAAATACGGTGAATACTATATGTATACCCATTTCTTTTAAATTATACTATTCTCCACCCCCCTACCATGTTTTAACCTATCAGATGTATGTAATTTGACAGATATAGACATTCCAGACGTACATGGTACCTGCACAACAGGCGCGCATAACGACAAAACAGACCAGCGCATTACTTATGATTGTAGAGAGGCAGTTAGTACCATATTCTTGCCAGTCCACTATATTAGGCCTTCTACTTCATTAAAACTAGGTTATAACATTTCCGATCCACATAATTTGGGAGCTTTCAGAGTTCCAGTTCCGCCTTGTACCTACACACAAGCGTGCATGCTGACCGTACCGGCTGACGCATTTTTCTTTCTGTACAAATACAGTGAATACCATATGTATTCACATTTCCATTAAATTATACCATTCCCCACCCCCCTACCATGTTTTAACATATCGGGTCTATGAAATTTGGCAGGGTATGGGGGCATGAGGGCATGAGGGTTTATGTTTTAACCTATCTCTAACCTCACGCCCTCATGCCCTCATGCCCTCATGCCCTCACGCCCTCATGCCCTCATGCCCTCATGCCCTCATGCCCTCATGCCCTCACGCCCTCATGCCCTCATGCCCTCATGCCCTCATGCCCTCACGCCCTCATGCCCTCATGCCCTCATGCCCTCATGCCCTCATGCCCTCACGCCCTCATGCCCTCATGCCCTCATGCCCTCATCCCCTCATGGCCTCATGCCCTCATGCCCTCATGCCCTCATGCCCTCACGCCCTCACGCCCTCACGCCCTCATGCCCTCATCCCCTCATGCCTTCATGCCCTCATGCCCTCATGCCCTCATGCCCTCACACCCTCATGCCCTCATGCCCTCATGCCTTCATACCCTCATGCCCTCATCCCCTCATGCCCTCACGCCCTCATGCCCTCATGCCCTCATGCCCTCATCCCCTCATGGCCTCATGCTCTCATGCCCTCATGCCCTCATGCCCTCACGCCCTCACGCCCTCACGCCCTCATGCCCTCATCCCCTCATGCCTTCATGCCCTCATGCCCTCATGCCCTCATGCCCTCACACCCTCATGCCCTCATGCCCTCATGCACTCATACCCTCATGCCCTCATCCCCTCATGCCCTCACGCCCTCATGCCCTCATGCCCTCATGCCCTCATGCTCTCATGCCCTCACGCCCTCATGCCCTCACGCCCTCATGCCCTCATGCCCTCACGCCCTCATTCCATCACGCCCTCATCCCCTCATGCCCTCACGCCCTCATGCCCTCATGCCCTCATCCCCTCATGCCCTCACGCCCTCATGCCCTCATGCCCTCATGCCCTCATGCCCTCATCCCCTCATGCCCTCATGCCCTCACGCCCTCATTCCATCACGCCCTCATGCCCTTATGCCCTCACGCCATCACGCCATCATTCCCTCATGCCCTCAGCCCCTCATGCCCTCATGCCCTCATGATCTCATGCCCTCATGCCCTCACGCCCTCATGCCCTCATGCCCTCATGCACTCATGCCCTCATGCCCTCACGCCCTCATGCCCTCATGCCCTCATGCCCTCATGCCCTCATGCCTTCACGCCCTCACGCCCTCATGCCCTCATCCCCTCATGCCCTAATGCCCTCATGCCCTCATGCCCTCATGCCCTCATGGCCTCATGCCCTCATGCCCTCATGCCCTCATCCCCTCATCCCCTCATGGCCTCATGCCTTCATGCCCTCATGCCCTCATGCCCTCACGCCCTCACGCCCTCACGCCCTCATGCCCTCATCCCCTCATGCCTTCATGCCCTCATGCCCTCATGCCCTCATGCCCTCACAACCTCGTGCCCTCATGCCCTCATGCCCTCATACCCTCATGCCCTCATCCCCTCATGCCCCCACGCCCTCATGCCCTCATGCCCTCATGCCCTCATCCCCTCATGGCCTCATGCTCTCATGCCCTCATGCCCTCATGCCCTCACGCCCTCACGCCCTCAAGCCCTCATGCCCTCATCCCCTCATGCCTTCATGCCCTCATGCCCTCACACCCTCATGCCCTCATGCCCTCATGCCCTCATACCCTCATGCCCTCATCCCCTCATGCCCTCACGCCCTCATGCCCTTATGCCCTCATGCCCTCATGCTCTCATGCCCTCACGCCCTCATGCCCTCACGCCCTCATGCCCTCATGCCCTCACGCCCTCATTCCATCACGCCCTCATCCCCTCATGCCCTCACGCCCTCATGCCCTCATGCCCTCATCCCCTCATGCCCTCACGCCCTCATGCCCTCATGCCCTCATGCCCTCATGCCCTCACGCCCTCATGCCCTCATGCCCTCACGCCCTCCTTCCATCACGCCCTCATGCCCTCATGCCCTCACGCCATCACGCCCTCATTCTCTCATGCCCTCAGCCCCTCATGCCCTCATGCCCTCATGACCTCATGCCCTCATGCCCTCACGCCCTCATGCCCTCATGCCCTCATGCACTCATGCCCTCATACCCTCACGCCCTCATGCCCTCATGCCCTCATGCCCTCATGCCCTCATGCCTTCACGCCCTCACGCCCTCATGCCCTCATCCCCTCAAGCCCTAATGCCCTCATGCCCTCATGCCCTCATGCCCTCATGCCCTCATGGCCTCATGCCCTCATGCCCTCATGCCCTCATGCCCTCACGCCCTCATGCCATCATGGCCTCATGCCCTCATGCCCTCACGCCCTCATGCCATCACGCCCTCATGCCCTCATGCCCTCATGCCATCATGCCCTTATGCCCTCATCCCCTCAAGCCCTCATGCCCTCATGCCCTCATGCCGTCATGCCCTCATGCCCTCATGCCCTCACGCACTCATGCCCTCATGCCCTCATGCCCTCATCACCTCATGCCCTCATGCCCTCATGCCCTCATGCCCTCATGCACTCATGCCCTGATGCCCTCACGCCCTCATGCCGTCATGCCCTCATGCCCTCATGCCCTCACGCCCTCATGCCCTCACTCCCTCATGCCCTCATGCCCCCATGCCCTCATGCCCTCATGCCCTCATTCCCTCATGCCCTCAGGCCCTCATGCCCTCTGCCCTCATGCCCTCACGCCCTTATGCCCTCATGCCCTCACGCCATCACGCACTGATGCCCTCATGCCCTCATCCCCTCATCCCCTCATGCCCTCATGCCGTCATGACCTCATGCCCTCATGCCCTCATGCCCTCAGGACCTCACGCCCTCATGCCCTCATGCCCTCATGCCCTCACGCCCTAATGCCCTCATGCCCTCACGCCCTCATGCCATCACGCGCTCACGCCCTCACTCCTTCATGCCCTCATGACCTCATGCCCTCATGCCCTCACGCCCTCATGCCCTCATGCCCTCATGCCCTCACACCCTCATGCCCTCATGCCCTCATGCCCTCATAGGCATGGGCTGCTCTCAAGGGTGTACACGCTCCTGCAACAGCGGCGGTAGCTGTGGTGTTGGAACGGCAAATGGCGACACTACGAATTGAAGAGGATGAAGCGGTTGAAGAAGGGGTGCAGAAATTCTTCGACTTGTTGACGCGGCTTGAGGGAGCTGATTTGAACTATGATGAGCTCCAAAAGAAGACCAAGTTGCTGGCCCTACTCCCTGAGTCATGGTCCTCGCTCATCATCAGCCTTAATCGCGACTTGCCCCGCCTCTCGCTTGAAGACGTGAAGCGAGCTATCCTTCAAGAGGATTTCCGCCGCCGTGAGTTGGCGAGTGCGGATGGCGCTGGGGCAGCGAGCATCGGCCGTGGATATGGTCGAGGAAGAGGTAGAGGACGAGGGGGAGGAAGGTTTGGTGGCAGCAACTTCGGCGGAGGCCGCGGGAGTGGCGGTTACGGCAGCGACGACAAGAGCTACGGACGCGGTCGCGGCCGATTCGACGGCGAGTGTCACTATTGCCACAAGAGCGGACACATGTGGCGCGACTGCTACAAACTCCCTGATGGTTGGACCCCTGCTCAAGGCCAAGAGGGTAGAGGAGCAGGAGGAGGGAGAGGAAGAGGCCGTGGAGGCCGTGGCGGTCGCGGTGGCGGAGCTGCAAACATGAAGAGCGGAGACAACGACAAGGACCCGAGCAACGATCGGTACCCGGGTCTATTCTACTTCGTGTCGACGCAAGTACCGACTGGTCCAGAGAAGGATGAAGGCTTTGAGGAGCCAGCAGCTGTGGGGAAGGTGGCTCTACACCCTCTGGACTATTGGGTGATCGATAGTGGCGCTACCTATAGCATGACACCTCGCCCGGACTTGCTCACCGAACTCGAACCGTCACCGGTGAAGCATGTCACATCAGCTTTGGGGCAGCGAGCGGAGGTGAAAGGCATGGGCAAGGCCATGTTTAAGGGTGCTGATGGGAAGATGGTGGGCCTCAAGAATGTGCTTTGGGTGCCCAGCCTTGCTGCCAACCTGATTTCCGTGCGGCCGTTGGCAAAGGCCGGCATGGACACGAACTCAAAGGGAGCCAAGACCTACACTGCAAGGCTTGGCGATCGGATTCTTTGGGACCTTCATGAGGACAGAGATGTCTACAACGAGATGTGGCAGATCCCTGTGGTCCCAATGCCTAAGGAGAGGCAAGTGGCAGCAAGCGTCAGCACCAAAGGTGGAGCGGTTGGTAGCGGCGATTGCGCGGACGGTCGCGCTAAGGAGAAGGAGTCCAAGAAGTGCAATCTTGGAGGGACCAGCAAGCTTGGTGAACCTATGGAGAGAGGTGCAGCAGCCAAGGAGCAGCAAAAGGGTGAGGAGAACCCCGAGGCAGCAGCGGAGGAGGACTACGGAGAGAGTATGTGGGGCGCTATTGCGAGCGCGGCATTCTCCAATCCAACTTCGGCTAAGGGGGAGTGTGATTGGCTCACCTTGCATCGGCGCATGGGGCATGTGGCCCTGCCCATCTTGCAGCAGCTAGTAAAGAATGAGATGGTTGCTGGCATACGTGTGAAGGGGGAGCCCGATGAGGTACTTGGCTGCCCGACGTGCATGCAAGCCAAGTTCACCCGTTTCCCATTCTCTAGTTCGGAGGCAACGGCTAAGGCACCACTTGATGAGGTGGTGATGGACGTGGTGGGCCCCCTGAAGCTTGGAGCTGCTGGAGCTGAGTACTTCCTCACTATTGTGGACGTCTACACCCGTATGACTTGGGTGTACGTGCTGGCCAAGAAGAGCGACGTGGCTGAAACGTTGAAGGCGGATTGGTTCCCGATGGTGGAGCGGCAACAAGACCGTCTAGTCAAGTCAATCCGTACCGATCGAGGGGGAGAGTTCCTGAGCAAGGAGTTTGGGTTGTGGCTGAAGAAGAATGGTAATCGGCACTCCCTCACCATGCCATACTCCCCTGCAATGAACGGCATCGCTGAGCGAGCGAACCGCACAATCACGGAGGCGGCACGCGGGTTGCTTATTGAAGCCGGGCTACCCGACTATTTCTGGCCTGATGCGGTGCGGAGCGCGTGTGTGGCCAAGAACCGAGCCTTGACTCATGTGGGAGCAGACAAATGGGTGCCCTATGTGGAGTGGCTAGGAAGGAAGCCAAAGGTGGATATGCTTCGGGCGTTCGGGTGCATGTGCATGGCGCTCGCGCCTAAGCATCTTCGGCACAACAAGCTTGGTGCCAAGGCGGTGTGGGCCGTGCACTTGGGCATGGCTCAAAACAGCAAGGGATGGCTTCTTTGGGACCCATTCACCAAGAAGTTCTTGGTGAGCAGGGACTGCAAGTTCATGGAGAACTTCATGTACAAAGATTGGATGGCGGAGAATGAGGCGAAGATAGGCGTGCGGTTTGGGGAGGTGAAGAGTTCCGGTTTGGAGCATGTGGAGCTGCCTTTGGAGCTGAGCAGCGGCAGCACAACCACAAGGCAATCCTCCCTTGTGAATGGGGGAGGGGAGGCCAATGATGCAGAGGAAGAAGAGGAGGAGGTGCAGCAAGTGAGCGAGCGTGCACCGTCACTCCCTTCCCGTACTACGAGTGCTCCACGGATTCGAGCCACACCGCAGCAACGCCAAGGCCTTCAAGTCCCTGCAGCTGAGGAGGAAGGAAGGGGCAAGAGGAGAGTTCAACCCCCTAATAGGCTGACCTATGATGCGCTGGGAAAGCAGGGCAAGACAGCCCTGGCCGGAGCGGCAATGATGGTCGGAGACGACGAGGAGAGTGACTACGAGGAGTGTGCCTTCGCGTTCTTCTCTCCGGTGGAGATGCCGGGAGAACCAGCAACTCTCAAGGAGGCTTTGGAGAGTAGTGATGCTGAGGAGTGGAAGAAGGCCATGGAGAGTGAGCTGAAGAGCATCAAGGAGAATGACACGTTTGAATTGGTGGAGCTACCGGAGGGGCGTACGGCGATAACGTCCAAGTGGCTCTTCAAAATCAAGTCGGATGCCGACGGCAAGATCGAGCGCTACAAGTCTAGGCTTGTAGCCAAGGGGTACCAGCAGAAGGAGAAGGTGGACTTCAAGGAACTGTTTGCCCCTGTGGTGAAGCCGACGACGCTGCGAACCCTATTCGCGGGAGCCGCCATCAAAGGATGGGTAGTAAAACAAATGGACATTGTAACGGCATTCCTTAACGTGAACTTCTACCTTGGGCTCCACATCGAGCGAGACATGGAGAAGCGGAGTTTGCGAGTGCACCAACGGAAGTACCTGGAGGCGTTGGCTGCCAACTTCGGCCAGAGTGAAGGTCATGTGGCTACTCCCTTTCCCTCTGGGTTCAAGTGTGTGAAGGGACCAGAGGAGGAGAGCGTTTGTGAAGAGGAAAGGCGTCGTTTTCACTCGTTGGTGGGCAGCCTCATGTATGCGGCGGTAAACACCCGACTGGACGTCGCGTTTGCTACCGGGCAGCTGGCTAGGGTTGTGCAATGCCCTAATGAGGAGCAGGTAGCAGCTGGAATGAGGGTGGCCAAGTATCTTGGCCAAACACCGACCGTTGGGCTGCAATACTCGGCGGCGGCACAAAGGCGCCAAAAGGGCGCGGATGGTGTTGAACCCGGGCGTTTGTTCCTCACCGCCTACTCGGATGCGTCATATGCATCGGAACCAGAGGACATGACAAGTGTGGGAGGCTTCATATGCTGTGTTGGTGGAGGCCCAACTGCTTGGGAGAGCAAGAAGCAGGTTGACCAAGCTTTGAGCTCGGTGGAGTCCGAGTACATGGCACTCTTCCGTGCCGTACGGGAGATTGTGTGGCAGCGGCGTTTGTTGGCTGAATTGGGGGAGGAGCAGCAAGGACCTACCCCACTCTACTGTAACAGCCAGGGTGCCATTGCTCTTGCTAAGAACCCTGTGTTGCATGGACTCACAAAGCACATGAGGGTGAAATGGCATTGGACGAGGAGCATGGTGACCGCGGGTGAAGTTGAGTTGCGGTACGTGAAGACCACGGGGCAGCCGGCTGACATGATGACTAAGAGGCTGGTGGAGCAGCAGCATTGGAAGTGTTGCAAGCTGGCTGGGATGGCTCTGAACTGAGAGAGCAACATATCCTAAGGCCAACAATCCGAGGGGGAGTTTGTTGGTGCAACCCTACGGTTTGCACTCGGCTTGTTGTCCGTGTGCGTGCATGTGTGTGTGTATGGAATGGTATGAGGGCATGGGATAACATATATTTCATGCTTATAATTGTGTGTGAATGTTGAGTCATGATGTCGAGTGTGTGTGTCGAGTCAATAGCGAGTTATCGCTAGACGCGTGTTACGCGGTCGTTTGTGTCTCGCGCGCGGTTTCTATTTTTGTCGTGCGCGGTTTCTATTTTGTCCTGTGTCGAACGTTCGGTGTGTCGCAGGTGTGTGCAGCAGACCCATCAAGAACTCAAGGATGAGTTTGTGATGAAGAGCCCGAGCCTTGGTGTCAAGCCTCAAGTGATTTCGAAGCTCGCCAAAAGGGTACACCTCAAGATATTGAAGATAGTTACATTACTTTGTGTAGTGTAACATTTCACTTGGTGTAGGCCCTAGTGAAGGGTAGTTTCGAGACCCTTCGTGGTTGGGGACAGTGTGGCACTGTTCCACATCACTGTACCTCGGCTCTTGGGGCTTGTAGGAGCTGGGAGTCATTCCCAACTCGTAACTCTTCATATCTCTTCCTATTTTGTGTTCTAAGACTATAGTGGCTGCCATAGTGCCGTTCATTCAAACCGACACTGTGTCGTCAATACTTGGTGAAATTGTTCGATCTAACTTGCCTATTGTAGGCGACGTTCAGACGCTCCAGATCCAAGTAGAATCAGGTCATTTAAAGTTGTGACCAGAACGCTATGAACGTTTGAAGCTGCTGTGCAGAAATCCGGCTGTGCACTCTATCTTTCGTTTTAGGCACATTGGAGCCTATTGTGACTATAACAGCGGGGTGATGGAAATCGGGACAACGGGGCGGGGTGATGGAAAGTGGGAGAATGGGGCGGGGTGATGGAAAGCGGGAGAATCGGGCAAGGTGATGGAAAGCGGGAGAATGGGGCGGGTTGATGGAAAGCAGGAGAATGGGCGGGGTGATGGAAAGCGGGAGAATGGGGCGGGGTGATAGAAGGAGGGAGAATGGGGCGGGGTGATGGATGGAGTGATAATGGGGTGGGGCGATGGAAAGCGGGAGAATGGGGCGGGGAGATGGAACGCGGATGAATGGGGCAGGGTGATGGAAAGCGGGAGAATAGTGCGGGATGATAGATAGCGGGAAAATGGGGCGGGGTGATGGAAAACGGGAGAATGAAGTGGGGTGATGGAAAGCGGGAGAATGGGGCGGGGTGATGGAAAGCGGGAGGATGGGGCGGGGTGATGGAATGCGGGAGAATGGGGCGGGGTGATGGAAGGAGGGAGAATGGGGCGGGGTGATGGAAAGCGGGAGAATGGGGCGGGGTGATGGAAATCGGGAGAACGGGGTGGGGTGATGGAAGGTGGGAGAATGGGGCGGGGTGATGGAAAGCGGAAGAATGGGGCGGAGTGATGGAAAACGGGAGAATGGGGCGGGCGATGGAAAGCGGGAGAATGGGGTGGGGTGATGAAAAGCGGAGAATGGGGCGGGGTGATGGAAAGCGGGAGAATGGGGCGGGGTGATGGAAAGCAGGAGAATGGGGCGGGGTGATGGAAGCGGGAGAATGGGGCGGGGTGATGGAAAGCGGGAGCATGGGGCGGGGTGATGGAAAGCGGTTGAATGGGGCGGGGTGATGTAAGGAGGGAGAATGGGGCGGGGTGATGGGAAGAGTGATAATGGGGTGGGGCGATGGAAAGCGGGAGAATGGGGCGGGGTGATGGAAAGCGAATGAATGGGGCAGGGTGATGGAAAGCGGGAGAATAGTGCGGGATGATAGATAGCGGGAAAATGGGGCGGGGATGGAAAACAGGAGAATGAAGTGGGGTGATGGAAAGCGGGAGAATGGGGCGGGGTGATGGAAAGCGGGAGAATGGGGCGGGGTGATAGATAGCGGGAAAATGGGGCGGGGTGATGGAAAACGGGAGAATGAAGTGGGGTGATGGAAAGCGGGAGAATGGGGCGGGGTGATGGAAAGCGGGAGAATAGTGCGGGATGATAGATAGCGGGAAAATGGGGCGGGGTGATAGAAAACGGGAGAATGAAGTGGGGTGATGGAAAGCGGGAGAATGGGGCGGGGTGATGGAAAGCGGGAGAATGGGGCGGGGTGATGGAATGCGGGAGAATGGGGCGGGGTGATGGAAGGAGGGAGAATGGGGCGGGGTGATGGAAAGCGGGAGAATGGGGCGGGGTGATGGAAATCGGGAGAACGGGGCGGGGTGATGGAAGGCGGGAGAATGGGGCGGGGTGATGGAAAGCGGAAGAATAGGGCGGAGTGATGGAAAGCGGGAGAATGGGGCGGGCGATGGAAAGCGGGAGAATGGGGTGGGGTGATGAAAAGCGGAGAATGGGGCGGGGTGATGGAAAGCGGGAGAATGGGGCGGGGTGATGGAAAGCAGGAGAATGGGGCGGGGTGATGGACGCGGGAGAATGGGGCAGGGTGATGGAAAGCGGGAGAACGGGGCGGGGTGATGGAAAGCGGGTGAATGGGGCGGGTGATGGAAAGCGGGAGAATGGGGCGCGGTGATGGAAAGCAGGAGAATGGGGCGGGGTGATGGAATGGGGCGGGGTGATGGAAAGCGGGAGAATGGGGCGGGGTTATGGAAAGCGGGAGAATGGGGCGGGGTGATGGAAGGAGGGAGAATGGGGCGGGGTGATGGAAAGCAGGAGAATGGGGCGGGGTGATGGAATGCGGGAGAATGGGTGGGGTGATGAAAAGCGGGAGAATGGGGCGGGGTGATAGAAGGAGGGAGAATGGGGCGGGGCACTGGATGGCGGGAGAATGGGGCGGGGTGATGGAAAGCGGGAGAATGGGGTTGGGTGATGGAAAGCGGGAGAATGGGGCGGGGTGATGGAAAGCCATTGAATAGGGCGGGGTGATGGAAGGAGGGAGAATGGGGCGGGGTGATGGAAGGAGGGAGAGTAGGGCGGGGTGATGGAAAGCAGGAGAATGGGGCGGGGTGATGAAAAGCGGGAGAATGGGTGGGGTGATGGAAAGCGGGAGAATGGGGCGGGGTGATAGAAGGAGGGAGAATGGGGCGGGGCACTGGATGGCGGGAGAATGGGGCGGGTTGATTGAAAGCAGGAGAATGGGGTTGGGTGATGGAAAGCGGGAGAATGGGGCGGGGTGATGGAAAGCGGTTGAATGGGGCGGGGTGATGGAAGGAGGGAGAATGGGGCTGGTGATGGAAGGAGGGAGAGTGGGGCGGGGCGATAGAGCTGGACAATGGGGCGGGGTGATGGAAATCGGGAGAATGGGGCGGGGTGATGGAAGGAGGGTGAATGGGGCGAAGTGATGGAAGGAGGGAGAATGGGGTTGGGGTGATGGAAAGTGGAAGAATGGGGCGGGGTGATGGAATGCGGGAGAATGGGGCGGGGTGATGGAAAGCGGGAGAATGGGGCGGGGTGATGTAAAGCGGGAGAATGGGGCAGGGTGATGGAAAGCGGGAGAATGGGGCGGGGTGATGGAAGGAGGGAGAATGGGGCAGGGTGATGGAAGGAGGGAGAATGGGGCGGGGTGATGGAAAGCGGGAGAATGGGGCGGGGTGATGGAAAGCGGTAGAAAGGGGCGGGGTAATGGAAAGCGGGAGAATGGGGTGGGGTGATGGAAAGCGGGAGAATGGGGCGGGGTGATAGAAAGCGGGAGAATGGGGCGGGGTGATGGAAAGTGGGAGAATTGGGCGGGGTGGTGGAAAGCGGGAGAATGGGGCGGGATGATGGAAGGAGGGAAAATGGGGCGGGGTGATGGAAAGTGGGAGAATAGGGTGGGGTGATGGAAAGCGGATGAATGGGGCAGGGTGATGGAAAGCGGGAGAATGGGGCGGGATGATGGATAGCGGGAGAATGGGGCGGGGTGATGGAAAATGGGAGAATGAAGTGGGGTGATGGAAAGCTGGAGAATGGGGCGGGGTGATGGAAAGCGGGAGAATAGGGCGGGGTGATGGAAAGCGGGAGAATGGGGCGGGGTGATGGAAGGCAGGAGAATGGGGCGGGGTGATGGAAAGCGGGAGAATGGGGCGGGGTGATGGAAAGCGGGAGAATGGGGCGGGGTGATGGAAAGCGGGAGAATGGGCAGGGTGATGGAAAGCGGGAGAATGGGGCGGTGTGATAGAAGGAGGGAGAATGGGGCGGGGTGATGGAAAGCGGTAGAATGGGGCAGGGTAATGGAAAGTGGGGGATTGGGGCGGGGTGATAGAAAGCGGGAGAATGGGGCGGGGTAATGGAAAGCGGTAGAATGGGGTGGGGTGATGGAAAGCGGGAGACTGGGGCGGGGTGATGGAAAGCGGGAGAATGGGGCGGGATGATGGAAAGCGGGAGAATGGGGAGTGGTGATGGACAGCGGGAGAATGGGGCGGGGTGATGGAAAGCAGGAGAATGGGGCGGGGTGATGGTGTCAACGTAAGTTGTGTTTGGCCCCGTCCTTGCTTGGGCGGAGCCGACCGTGGGATCCACGAAATCGCGGGGGACCGTGGAGCCACAAAATCGCGGTGGACCGTGGGAGCCACGAAATCGCGGTGGACCGTGGGAGCCACGAAATCGCGGTGGACCGTGGGAGCCACAAAATCGCGGTGGACCGTCGGAGCCACGAAATCGTGGAGGACCGTGGAGCCACGAAACCGCGGGAGGACCGCGAATTACCCGTTCAACCAGGATACCCGGGCGACGTGCGCGAATGTCGCCGGGGATGTTGTCTGCGAGGACGACTTCGGGGGTGGTATCCCGAGGTCGACGTGGCTGGTGGTTGCTGTTACATGTGAAGTGTCTGCGCTCGGCGTGAGACGGGGAGTTGGGCGCCAACCAGCTGCTCGCACCTGCGAAGCTGGTGCACCGTTGTCCCGCGGATGCATCGCTGTGCAGCCGACTTACTGCAGCGTTGGCACACCGTGGACAGGCAACGTTGGCAAGCCTCGACTCTGCTCTACTGGAGCGCGGTCGACCAAGTCGTGCTAGCACGCGGTCGAGTGTGCTGCAGTGGCAGTAGACTTGCAGCCTTGCTAGGTCTGATGTAGTCAGTGTTGCCAATGTTGATGCAATCATTCTGAACTTTTGTTGTGATGTTTTCCTAGTGAAACTCTCGCCAATTTTCCCCGTGAACTAGCAAGCAGTGTTAGCACTTGGAAACGACTAAGGAACGAACGAACGCTATGATCACTCTTGCCCCGTGCCTAGCCCGTAGTCTAGCTCCCGTTGCACAAGTTATTTCGCATGGTTCGGTAAGCGTGGACGACACCGCGACGAAACCTTCGGTTTAGCTGACTTCTCACTCACCTAGCTTGTTTGTAGACCGGCAGCTGTGCGGTAGTCACTATGGTAGGAGCCGTAGGTGACGGAGGGGTGGTGGACACCCTGGAGGCACGGATGGCGAACACGAGGAGAAAGCACGAGACCAACGAGTATGGCGACATCCCTCGGACGGTCGTCGAGGCTGGCATCCGCTCCTTGTGGGCGACGGAGCACCCTCCCTCCCAGCCTGCGTCTCCTCGACCAGTGAACAACGCGGGCGGCGTCGACGTGGACGTCGACGCGGGTGGTGGCCAAGTCGGCAGCAGCGCGGGAGGCACATCGAGGCAGCAAGGTGTGATTCACGCCGATGAAGTCGGCGGCGTTCAGGCGCGAGAGATGCAGTCGTCCGCGGCTGTAGGGGCCCCGCGAAACTACGTCGGAGGCAGACGAAGTGAATTGGCGCTGATGTCGGCGACACATGTGACCGCGGGAGGAATTGCGCCGAGCTACGGTTACTTCAAGTTTACGCCGGACATGATCTCGGTCACCCCTCTGCTGGTCGGTCGTCCCGACATCCTCACGTGGAAGGAAGCCATCGAGCCCCAGCTGGAGATGGCCGGGCTGATGAGATTCGCCCACGGAACCGTGGCGACGCTGGAGGAGCACTACCCCGACCTGCGAGCGGAATTTCGCGCCGTACAGCTGCTGACCTTTACGGTCATTTCTCGGTGCTGCTCGCCGGGCGTAGAGATTGCCCTGAAGTCGTGGAGGGAGTACCTCGACGCTGGCCATCGGGCGTGGCATTTCATCGAGTCAACTTACCAGGTCACCGACGACTTGTTCATCTCCCAGCTTGAGGGGCAGTTGACGCACCTGCGTATGGGCGACAAGGAGACCACGACTGATTACTGCAATCGAGCTTGGCGAATTCTCGCCACCATTCGGATGGCTGGCGCGGAATTCTCGACGGCTTTGTACGTCACGCACGTCATGCAAGGACTCCCGAGCAGCTACAATCTGCTGAAGCGGCTGTCGATGGCGCCGAGCACGCGGGCGACGCTCAACGAGGACACACTGACCTTGTACATCTTGCAGGACCAGGCGATGCAGGAGGCTGAGCGGTCCCAATAGCTCCTTGCGCAAGTCCATTTCGCGGCCCCTGCGAAGCGAGGTGGTCGCCCGGGACAGCGCGGGCAGTCTGGTGGCAGTCACCGCGGTGGCGGGAAGCCGGCGAAGGACGCTGACAAGAAGAAGTCGTCCAAGGATGGCGGTTGTGGAGGAGAAGGTCGACGTCGGGAATGCTGGCTGTGCGGCGATCCCGATCACCTCTCCTTCGAGTGCCCTGACCGCAGCGATTCCGACGACGACGACGCGAAGGGAGGCCGCGGAAGTTCTGGCAGTTGTCGTCCGCGTCGAGGAAACCAACCACGAAAAGAGAAGCAGTCGGCGAAATCGAACTCGGCGAAGGACGCCGACTCTTCCGCGGGTGGCAAAGGGCGAGACGCTAAGGAGGCGTCGTGCTCGCTGGTCGGTATTGTGGAGCCGACTGTCTCGCTGGCGCCGGAAGCTGGCGAGGATTTCCAGGTGGTGGCGGCAGCTGTGCAGGCGAACCCCGCGGTGGTCCTGCTCGACAGCGGCTGCTCGCACCACCTGATGGGGACGAAGGCGGCCTTCGTCAAATTGGGGCCGAGCGGCGACGTGAAACATGTGTGTGGCTTCAATGGGGCGCTGCAGGACGTCCACGGCCGAGTGCTCATCTCCGACGTTCTCTACGTCCCGGGCGTGCAGACGAATCTGCATTCGGCTGGCCAACTGAAGGAGAGCGGGGTGACGCTGAAGGACGACGGCGATCGGATGTTGCTCGGGCGAGCGACGTACACCGGCCGGGTCCTCTGTACTGACCTACGCCCATGCGCAGTAGCGGCGACGACGCCCGCAAAAGAGGAGGTGGTTCTGCGGGCGATAGTCTCGGCGACGAAGGCAACCCCGAACAGGCTGCACGCGAGGCTTGCGCATGTTGGCATGGACACGATACGGAGCTCGGCGAAGCACGAGGTCGCCACTGGGCTGGACCTCACGTCGGCGTCTCACCGTGTGTTTCGTGCGTCGGCGGGAAGCTGGCGGGACACACCTTCCCCGACCACGGCTCCGAAGCCGACGATGTCCTGGCCGTCGTGCACATTGACTTGTGCGGGCCATTTCACGTGGCTGCCAAGGACGGAGGCTTGTACTTCCTGCTGCTGAAGGACCGCAAGACCCGCTACGTGTGGGTGCGGCCGGTCGCCAAGAAGTCGGACGTGCTGCTGGAGTTCCAGAAGTGGTTGGTGCTGGTGGAGCGGCAGGCGAAGCATTCGGTGCTGCAACTGCGCTCTGATCGCGGAGGGGAGTTCCTCGGAAAGGACTTCACCGCCTTCGTGGACAGCAAGGGCATCGTCCACGACTTGACATGCCCCTACACCCCGTAGCAGAATGGCATGGCGGAGCGGGAGATGAGGACGGTGGTGGAGTCGGTGCGGACGATGCTGCTGCACATGGGCGTGCAGCACCGCTGGTGGCATCTTGCTCTGCGCAACTACCTGGAGCGGTCGAAGCTACCCGCGGGGACGACGCCGTACCAGCTTCTCACCGGGCAGAAGCCCGACCTGTCACTGGCGCGAGTGTGGGGCTGCATGGCACAATTTCTCGTCACTGAGGTGGGAAGCTGAAGCCGAAGGCCCGGTGGGGCCTTCACCTCGGCGTGTCGAAGGAGAGCAAAGGCTGGGAGCTCCTCGACCTCGTCAACAACCGGGTGGTCACCACGTCGGACGTGGTGTTCTACGAAACTTTGTCGCTGGAGGTGTGGAAGTCGGAATTCGGGCCCGCGTCGGGGCGGACGCGGGCCAACCCGCCGACGGACACCTCGACGGCGACGCTTCCTTTGCTCGACGAGGATGGTGAGTAGGCTGATGAGTATGTCGCAGTCGCCCCTGCCTCGCCATCTCCTGCCCCATCTTCCCATTCCCTTCCCGTCGAACTGCGTGGCCTTCCTTCGGTGTCGGCCTCCGGCGATGAGGGGAGTAGTGGGGCGTCGCCTGTGGCGCCCGCCAAGAGCATCGCCGGTGGCCGACGTGACGCCCAGCCAGTCGCGGAGAATAGGACCGTGAAGGAGACCGCGAAGAAAACCACGAAAACCGCGAAGGGGACCGCGGACGCGACCGCGGACGAGACCGCGGAGGAGATCGCGGAGGAGACCGCGAAGAAGCCCACGGAGGAAACCGCGGAGCAGTTGGCAGGGGAGCTTTCGAACGGGAAGCGCGTGTCAGAGAAGCCGTCGACAGTGGAGCAGTCGTACGCGGAGCTTGCTTCAGAGGAGCGGACGACAGCGGAGCAGTTTGATGAAGACACATCGAGCGACGTGGTGGAGGTGCAGCCCGGACCTTGGAAGTCAGGCAGAATTCGGAGGCCACCCGACTTCTTCGTCCCCGCTGCCTTCACCACGGTCTACGATGTGGACGACGACGACCTGGCGTACGATGACACCGAGGACGATGAGGCGTTTTCGGAGCTCGGCCCCGACATGCACGCCGATCTCGAGCACCGTTGGGACATTTCGACCATGATGGTGGAGGCGTTGGCGAGCTGGAAGGGCCCGGCGGTGAAGGCCGCCATGGAGGAAGAAATTCGTAGCCTCATCAACATGGGCACTTGGGAGCTGGTCGAACGCTCGCCGGAGGTGAACATAATGAAGAGCCAGTGGGTGCTGACAACGAAGTACCTCATCGACGACACTGTCGAGCGCAAAAAGGCGAGGCTGGTTGTGAAAGGCTTCACGCAGGAGTATGGCGCTGACTACGACGAGACGTACGCGCCCGTGAGCAGCTACGTCAAGCTGAGGATTTTCCTCAGCATCGTCGCCGTCTTCGACCTAAACCTGATGCAGCTGGACATGAAGAACGTTTTTTTTTGCAGAGCAAGCTCGACCGCGTGCTGTACATGTACCAGCCAGACTACTTCAACGACGGAGCCGGCCGGGTGTGCAAGCTGTTGAAGAGCCTCTATGGGCTGAAGCAGTCGCCGCTGCTGTGGTACACGGCTCTCAACGACGTGTTGGTTGGCGCCGGGTGGAAGAAGAGCCAAGTCGACGAGGCTTTGTACTTCAAGGCCGGAGACGACAAGGTGACCTGCTGGGTGCTGGTCTACGTCAACGACCTTCTCGCCGTGAACAGCAGCACCGCGATGCTGAAGGAGCTGAAGGAAGTGCTGGAGGCCGCTTTCGAGCTGCGCAAAATTTCGCCGGTGCAGAAGTATCTCGGCCTGGAGATCTTGCGCAACAGGCCGGCGCGAAAACTGTGGCTGCACCAGCAGGGCTACGCCGACAAGCTGTGCAGGCGCTTCATCGACCAGGAGCAGACCGGGCGCACTCCGAAGACGCCGGTCTCCGTCGCCGCCTACGCAGAGCAGACATTGGACGACGAGGAGGCGCAGGAGCGCGAGGAGGAGGAGTACCGGCAGAAGGTCGGCTCGCTGCAGTTCGCGGCGACGACGACGAGGCTGGACATCGCATTCGCATGCAGCAAGCTGGGGAGAGGCCTCATGGTGAGGAGCAACCAGCACTGGCGCGAAGTTGACCGCTGCCTCGCCTACCTCGCCAACACGCGAGAGACCGCCCTGGAGTACGACGGTGGTCCGGAGTCACTGGAGTTGGTCGGCTTCGTGGACGCCGACGACGCGGGCGACAAGCAGAACCGGATGAGCACGGGTGGCTACGTGTTCGTCTACGGAGGGGCCGCAGTCTCCTGGTCGAGCCAGCGCATCAAGTGCGCGACGCAGTTGTCGACCGAGTCGGAGTATATGGCGGCCGTCGAAGCTGGCAAGGAGGGACGTCGCCTTCGTTTCCTCCTCGCGGAGTTCCAGCGGCTGGACGCTGGAAAGCCGACTGTCCTCAGGGTGGACAGCAAGTCGGCCATCACGGTCGGCGAGGGCATGGGGTTAACGGGCAACCTCAAGCAAATGGAACGGCGACAGGCCTGGCTGCAGCACATGGTGAAGCGCGGGAAGTTTTCGCTGAAGTACATCCTGACCGCTGAGCAGCCGGCCGAATTCCTGACAAAGGCGCTGCACTATCCGGCCTTCAACCGGAGCTCCGTTGCAATCGTCCAAGTGCGCCTGGCGGATGTGGGCGACGGTGACAACGACGTGCAGCACTAGGTGCCATGCCCTTTTGCATGGCTGGTGCAGTGACCGGCGTGCTGTGCCTTGTGTGCATGCCGAAGGGCTATTCTCCGAGCAAAACTGCCGTGTGGGTCGGGGGGGGGGCCCAAGTGTGAACGCGGCAGGGGAGTGTCAACAGGAGTTGTGTTTGGCCCCGTCCTCGCTTGGGCGGAGCCGACCGTGGGATCCACGAAATCGCGGGGGACCGTGGAGCCTTGAAATCGCGGTGGACCGTGGGAGCCACGAAATCGCGGTGGACCGTGGGAGCCACGAAATCGCGGTGGACCGTGGGAGCCACGAAATCGTGGAGGACCGTAAAGCCACGAAACTGCGGGAGGACCGTGGTGGACGAGAAACCACGGGAGGACCGCGAAATACCCGGGCGACGTGCGCGAAAGTCGTTGGGGATGTTGTCTGCGAGGACGACCTCGGGGGTGGTATCCCGAGGTCGACGTGGCTATTGGGCGCCGTCACGGGTGAAGTGTCTGAGCTGAGCGTGTGACGGGGAGTTGGGCGCCAACCAGCTGCTCGCACCAGCGAAGCTGGTGCACCGTTGTCCCGCGGATGCATCACTGTGCAGCCGACTTACTGCAGCCTTGGCACATCGCGGACGGGCAACGTTGGCAAGCCGCGACTCTGCTCTGCTGGAGCGCGGTCAACCAAGTCATGCTGGAAAGCGGTCGACCGTGCTGCGCTGGTTGTAGACCAGCAGCCTTGCTAGGTCTGATGTAGTCAGTGTTGCCAATGTTGATGCAATAATTCTGAACTTCTGTTGTGATGTTTTCCTAGTGAAACTCTTGCCAATTTTCCCCATGAACTAGCAAGCAGTGTTAGCACTTGGAAACGACTAAGGAACGAACGAACACTACGATCACTCTTGCCCCATGCCTAGCCCATAGTCTAGCTCCTGTTGCACAAGTTATCTCCGCAGATGGAAAGCGGGAGAATGGGGCAGGGTGAAGGAAAGTGGGAGAACGGGGCGGGGTGATAGAAAGCGGGAGAATGGGGCGGGTGATGGAAAGCGGGAGAATGGGGCGGGGTGATGGAAAGCGGAAGAGTGGGGCGAGGTGATCGAAGGAGGGAGAATGGGGCAGGGTGATGGAAGGAGGGAGAATGGGGCGGGGTGATGGAAAGAAGGAGAATGGGGCGGAGTGATGGAAAGCGGGAGAATGGAACACGGTGAAGGAATGCAGGAGAACGGGGCGGGGTGATGGAAAGCGGGAGAATGGGGCGGGTGATAGAAAGCGGGAGAACGGGGCAAGGTGATGGAAAGCGGGAGAATGGGGCGGGGTGATGGAAAGCGGGAGAATGGGGCGGGGTGATGGAAAGCGGGAGAATGGGGCGGGGTGATGTAAGGAGGGAGAATGGGGCGGGGTGATGGAAAGCAGGAGAATGGGGCGGAGTGATGGAAAGCGGGAGAATGGAACACGGTGCAGGAATGCAGGAGAACGGGGCGGGGTGATGGAAAGCGGGAGAATGGGGCGGGTGATAGAAAGCGGGAGAACGGGGCGGAGTGATGGAAAGCGGGAGAATGGGGCGGGGTGATGTAAGGAGGGAGAATGGGGCGGGGAGATGGAAAGCGGATGAATGGGGCAGGGTCATGGAAAGCGGGAGAACGGTGCGGGATGATGGATAGCGGGAGAATGGGGCGGGGACCGGGGTGATGGAAAACGGGAGAATGAAGTGGGGTGATGGAAAGCGGGAGAATAGGGCGGGTTGATGGAAAGCGGGAGAATGGGGCGGGGTGATGGAAAGCGGAAGAATTTGGCGCGATGATGGAAGGAGGGAGAATGGGGCGGGGTGATGGAAAGCGGGAGAATGGGGCGGGGTGATGGAAATCGTAGGGAGCATGGGGCAAGGTGATGGAAAGCGAGAGAATGGTGTGGGGTGATGGAAAGCGGGAGGATAAGGCGAGGTGATGGAAAGCGGGAGAATGGGGCAAGGTGAGGAAAGCGGGAGAATGGGGCGGGGAGATTGAAAGCGGGAGAATAGGGCGGGGTGATGGGAAGCGGGAGAATGGGGCGGGGTGAGGGAAAGTGGGAGAATGCGGCGGGGTAATGGAAAGCGGGAGAATGGGGCGGGGACATGGAAAGCGGGAAAATGGGGCGGGATGATGGAAGGAGGGAGAATGGGGCAGGGTGATGGAAGGAGGGAGAATGGGTCGGGGTAATGGAAAGCGGGAGAATGGGGCGGGGTGATGGAAATCGGGAGAATGGGGTGCGGTGATGGAAAGCGGGAGAATGGGGCGCGGTGATGGAAAGCGGGAGAACGGGGCAGGGTGATGGAAAGCAGGAGAATGGGGCGAAGTGATGGAAAGCGGGAGGATGAGGCGGGGTGATGGAAAGCGGGAGAATGGGGCGGGGTGATGGAAAGCGGGAGAATGGGGTGGGGTGATGGAGGGATGGAGAATGGGGCGGGTGATGGAAGGAGGGAAAATGGGGCGAGGTGATGGAAAGAGGGAGAATGGGGTGGGGTGATGGAAAGCGGGAGAATGGGGCGGAGTGATGTAAAGCGGGAGAATGGGGCGGGGTGATGGAGAGCGGGAGAATGGGGCGGGGTGATGGAAAGCGGGAGAATGGGGCGGGGTGATGGAAAGCCGGAGAATGGGGCGGGGTGATGGAAGGAGGGAGAATGGGGCAGGGTGATGGAAGGAGGGAGAAGTGGGCGGGGTGATTGAAGAAGGGAGAATGGTGCGGGGTGATGGAAAGCGGGAGAATGGGGCGGGGTGATGGAAAGCGAGAGAATGGGGCGGTGTGATGGAAAGCGGGAGAATGGGGCGGTGTGATGGAAGGCGGGAGAATGGGGCGGGGTGATGGAATGCGTGAGAATAGGGCGGGGTGATGGAAATTGGGAGAATGGGGCGGGGTGATGGAAAGGGGGTGATTGGGGCGGGGTGATGGAAAGCGGGAGAATGGGGTGGGGTGATGGAAAGCGGGAGAATGGGGCGGGGTGATGGAAAGCGGGAGAATGGGGGGGGGTGTTGGAAAGCGGGAGTATGGGGCGGGGTGATGGAAAGCGGGTGAATGGGGCAGGGTGATGGAAGGAGGGAGAATGGAGCAGAGTGAAGGAAAGCGGGAGAATTGGGCGAGGTGATGGAATGCGGGAGAATGGGGCGTGGTGATGGAAAGCGGGAGAATGGGGCGGGGTGATGGAAAGCGGGAGAATGGGGCGGGGTGATGGAGAGCGGGAGAATGGGGCGGGGTGATGGAAAGCGGGAGAATGGGGCGGGGTGATGGAAAGCCAGAGAATGGGGCGGGGTGATGGAAGGAGGGAGAATGGGGCGGGGTGATGGAAATCGGGAGAATGGGGCGGGGTGATGGAAAGCGGGAGAATGGGGCAGGGTGATGGAAAGCGGGAGAATGGGGCGGGGTGATGGAAGGAGGGAGAATGGGGCGAGATGATGGAAAGCGGGAGAATGGTGTGGAATGATGGAAAGCGGGAGAATGAGGCGAGGTGATGGAAAGCGGGAGAATGGGGCAAGGTGATGGAAAGCGGGAGAATGGGGCGGGGAGATTGAAAGCGGGAGAATGGGGCGGGGTGATGGAAAGTGGGAGAATGGGGCGGGGTGATGGAAAGTGGGAGAACGGGGCGGGGTGATGGAAAGGGGGTGATTGGGGCGGGGTGATGGAAAGCGGGAGAATGGGGTGGGGTGATGGAAAGCGGGAGAACGGGGCGGGGTGATGGAACGAGGGAGAATGGGGCAGGGTGATGGACGGAGGGAGAATGGGGCAAGGTGATAGTAGGAGGGAGAGTGGGCCGGGTTGATGGACAGCAAGAGAATGGGGCGGGGTAATGGAAAGCGGGAGAATGGGGCGGGGTGATGGAAAGCGGGAGAATGGGGCGGGGTGATGGAAAGCAGGAGAATGGGGCGTGGTGATGGAAAGCGGGAGAATGGGGCGGGGTGACGGAAAGCGGGAGAATGGGGCGGGGTGATGGAAAGCGGGAGAATGGGGCGGGGTGATGGAAAGCGGGAGAATGGGGCGGGGTGATGGAAGGAGGGAGAATAGGGCGGGGTGATGGAAGGAGGGAGAATGGGGCGGGGTGATGGAATGCGGGAGTACGGGGCGGGGTGATGGAAAGCGGGAGAATGGGGCGGGGTGATGGAAAGCGGGAGATTGGGGCGGGGTGATGGAAAGCGGGAGAATGGGGTGGGGTCATGGAATGCGGCAGAATGGAGCGGGGTGATGGAAGGTGGGAGAATGGGGCGGGGTGATGGAAAGCGGGAGAATGGGGCGGGGTGATGGAAAGCGGGAGAATGAGGCGGGGTGATGGAAAACAGGTGAATGGGGCGGGGTGATGGAACGAGGGAGAATGGGGCAGGGTGATGGAAGGAGGGAGAATGGGGCGGGGTGATGGAAGGAGGGAGAATGGGGCGGGGTGATGGAAAGCGGGAGAATGGAGCGGGGTGATGGAAAGCGGGAGAATGGGGCAGGGTGATGGAAGGAGGGAGAATGGGGCGGGGTGATGGAAGGAGGGATAATGGGGCGGGGTGATGGAAAGCGGGAGAATGGGGCGGGGTAATGGAAAGCGGGAGAATGGGGCGGGGTGATGGAAAGCGGGAGAATAGGGCGGGGTGATGGAAAGCGGGAGAATGGGTCGGGGTGATGGAAAGTGGGAAAATGGGGCAGGGTGATGGAAGGAGGGAGAATGGGGCGGGGTGATGGAAGGAGGGAGAATGGGGCGGGGTGATGGAAAGCGGAAGAATGGGGCGGGGTGATGGAAAGCGGGAGAATGGGGCGGGATGATGGAAAGCGGGAGAATGGAGCGGGGTGTTGGAAAGCGGGAGAATGGGGCGGGTTGATGGAAGGCTGGAGAATGGGGCAGGGAGATGGAAGGAGGGAGAATGGGGCGGGTTGATGGAAAGCGGGAGAATGGGGCGGTGTGATGGAAGGAAGGAGAATGGGGCAGGGTGATGGAAAGCGGGAGAATGGGACGGGGTGACGGGAGGAGGGAGAATGGTGCGGGGTGATGGAAGGAGGGAGAATGGGGCAGGTTGATGGAAGGAGGGAGAATGGGGCGGGGTGATGGAAGGAGGGAGAAAGGGGCAGGGTGATGGAATGCGGGAGATTGGGGCGGGGTAATGGAAAGCGGGAGAATGGGGCGGGGTGATGAAAGCGGGAGAGTGGGCCGGGGTGATGGAAAGCGGGAGAATGGGGCGGGGTGATGGAAAGCGGGAGAATGGGGCGGGGTGATGGAAAGTGGGAGAATGGGGCGGAGTGATGGAAAGCGGGAGAATGGTTCCGGTTGATGGAAGGAGGGAGAATGGGGCGGGGTGATGGAAAGCGGGAAAATGGGGCGGGGTGATGGAAAGCGCGAGAATGGGGCGGGGTGATGGAAAGTGGGAGAATGGGGCGGGGTGATAGAAAGCGGGAGAATGGGGCGGGGTGATGGAAGGAAGGAGAATGGGGCGGGGTGATGGAAAGCAGACAATGGGACGGGGTGACGGAAGGAGGGAGAATGGTGTGGGGTGATGGAAGGAGGGAGAATGGGGCAGGTTGATTGAAGGAGGGAGAATGGGGCGGGGGGATGGAAAGGGGGTGATTGGGGCGGGGTGATGGAAAGTGTGAGAATGGGGTGGGGTGATGGAAAGCGGGAGAATGGGGCGGGGTGATGGAAAGCGGGAGAATGGGGGGGGGTGTTGGAAAGCGGGAGAATGGGGCGGGGTGATGGTAAGCGGGTGAATGGGGCAGGGTGATGGAAGGAGGGAGAATGGGGCAGGTTGATTGAAGGAGGGAGAATGGGGCGGGGGGATGGAAAGGGGGTGATTGGGGCGGGGTGATGGAAAGTGGGAGAATTGGGCGGGGTGATGGAATGCGGGAGAATGGGGCGGGGTGATGGAAAGCGGGAGAACGGGGCGGGGTGCTGGAAAGCGGGAGAATGGGGCGGAGTGATGGAAAGCGGGAGAATGGGGCGGGGTGATGGAGAGCGGGAGAATGGGGCGGGGTGATGGAAAGCGGGAGAATGGGGCGGGGTGATGGAAAGCCAGAGAATGGGGCGGGGTGATGGAAGGAGGGAGAATGGGGCAGGGTGATGGAAAGCGGGAGAATGGGGCGGGGTGATGGAAAGCTAGAGAATGGGGCGGTGTGATGGAAAGCGGGAGAATGGGGCGGTGTGATGGAAGGCGGGAGAATGGGGAGGAGTGATGGAATGCAGGAGAATGGGGCAGGGTGGTGGAAATCGGGAGAATGGGGCGGGGTGATGGAAAGCGGGAGAATGGGGCAGGGTGATGGAAAGCGGGAGAACGGGGCGGGGTGATGGAAGGAGGGAGAAAAGGGCGAGATGATGGAAAGCGGGAGAATGGTGTGGAATGATGGAAAGCGGGAGAATGAGGCGAGGTGATGGTAAGCGGGAGAATGGGGCGAGGTGATGGAAAGCGGGAGAATGGGGCAGGGAGATTGAAAGCAGGAGAATGGGGCGGGGTGATGGATTGTGGGAGAATGGGGCGGGGTGATGGAAAGCGGGAGAATGGGGCGGGGAGACAGAAAGGTGGTGATTGGGGCGGGGTGATGGAAAGCGGGAGAATGGGGTGGGGTGATGGAAAGCGGGAGAATGGGGCGGGGTGATGGAAAGCGGGAGAATGGGGCGGGGTGATGAAAGGTGGGAAAATGGGGCGGGATGATGGAAAGCGGGAGAATGGGGCAGGGTGATGGAAAGCGGGAGAATGGGGTGGGATGATGGAAAGCGGGAGAATGGGGCGGGGTGATGAAAGGTGGGAAAATGGGGCGGGGTGATGAAAAGCGGGAGAATGGGGCAGGGTGATGGAATGCGGGAGAATGGGGCAGGGTGATGGAAAGCAGGAGAATGGGGCGGGGTGATGGAAAGCGGGAGAACGGAGCAAGGTGATGGAAAGCGGGAGAATGGGGCGGGGTGATGGAAAGCGGGAGAATGGGGCGGGGTGATGGAAAGCGGGAGAATGGGGCGGGGTGATGGAAAGCGGGAGAATGGGGCGGGGTGATGGAAGGAAGGAGAATGGGGCGGGATGATGGAAAGCGGGAGAATGGGACGGGGTGACGGAAGGAGGGAGAATGGTGTGGGGTGATGGAAGGAGGGAGAATGGGGCAGGTTGATGGAAGGAGGGAGAATGGGGCGGGGTGATGGAAGGAGGGAGAAAGGGGCAAGGTGATGGAATGCGGGAGAATGGGGCGGGGTAAAGGAAAGCGGGAGAATGGGGCGGGGTGATGGAAAGCGGGAGTATGGGGCGGGGTGATGGAAAGCAGGAGAATGGGGCGGGGTGATGGAAAGCGGGAGAATGGGGCGGGGTGATGGAAAGCGGGAGAATGGGGCGGGGTGATGGAAAGCGGGAGAATGGGGCAGGGTGATGGAAAGCGGGAGAATGGGGCGGGGTGATGGAAAGCGGGAGAATGGGGCAGGGTGATGGAAGGAGGGAGAATGGGGCGGGGTGATGGAAGGAGGGAGAATAGGGCGGGGTGATGGAAGGAGGGAGAATGGGGCGGGGTGATGGAATGCGGGAGTATGGGGCGGGGTGATGGAAAGCGGGAGAATGGGGCGGGGTGATGGAAAGCGGGAGATTGGGGCGGGGTGATGGAAAGCGGGAGAATGGGGTGGGGTGATGGAAAGCGGGAGAATGGAGCGGGGTGATGGAAAGCGGGAGAATGGGGTGGGGTGATGGAAAGCGGGAGTATGGGGCGGGGTGATGGAAAGCAGGAGAATGGGGCGGGGTGATGGAAAGCGGGAGAATGGGGCGGGGTGATGGAAAGCGGGAGAATGGGGCGGGGTGATGGAAAGCGGGAGAATGGGGCAGGGTGATGGAAAGCGGGAGAATGGGGCGGGGTGATGGAAAGCGGGAGAATGGGGCAGGGTGATGGAAGGAGGGAGAATGGGGCGGGGTGATGGAAGGAGGGAGAATAGGGCGGGGTGATGGAAGGAGGGAGAATGGGGCAGGGTGATGGAATGCGGGAGTATGGGGCGGGGTGATGGAAAGCGGGAGAATGGGGCGGGGTGATGGAAAGCGGGAGAATGGGGTGGGGTGATGGAAAGCGGGAGTATGGGGCGGGGTGATGGAAAGCAGGAGAATGGGGCGGGGTGATGGAAAGCGGGAGAATGGGGCGGGGTGATGGAAAGCGGGAGAATGGGGCGGGGTGATGGAAAGCGGGAGAATGGGGCAGGGTGATGGAAAGTGGGAGAATGGGGCGGGGTGATGGAAAGCGGGAGAATGGGGCAGGGTGATGGAAGGAGGGAGAATGGGGCGGGGTGATGGAAGGAGGGAGAATAGGGCGGGGTGATGGAAGGAGGGAGAATGGGGCAGGGTGATGGAATGCGGGAGAATGGGGCGGGGTGATGGAAAGCGAGAGATTGGGGCGGGGTGATGGAAAGCGGGAGAATGGGGCGGGGTGATGGAATGCGGGAGAATGGAGTGGGGTGATGGAAGGTGGGAGAATGGGGCGAGGTGATGGAAAGCGGGAGAATGGGGCGGGGTGATGGAAAGCGGGAGAATGGGGCGGGGTGATGAAAAGTGGGAGAATCGGGCGGAGTGATGGAAAGCGGGAGAATGGGGCGGGGTGATGGAAAGCTGGTGAATGGGGCAGGATGATGGAAAGCGGGAGAATGGGGCGGGGTGATGGAAGAAGGGAGAATTGGGCGGAGTGATGGAAAGCGGGAGAATGGGGCGGGGTGAAGGAAAGCGGGAGAATGGGGCGGGGTGACGGAAAGCGGGAGAATGGGGCGGGGTGATGGAAAGCGGGAGAATGGGGCGTGGGAATGGAAAGCGGGAGAATGGGGCGGGGTGATGGAAAGAGGGAGAATGGGGCGGGGTGATGGAAAGCGAGAGAATGGGGTGGGGTGATGGAAAGCAGGAGAATGGAGCGGGGTGATGGAAAGAGGGAGAATGGGGCGGGGTGATGGAAAGCGGGAGAATGGGGCGGGGTGATGGAAACTGGGAGAATGGGGCGGGATGATGGAAAGCGGGAGAATGGGGCAGGGTGATGGAAAGCGGGAGAATGGGGTGGGATGATGGAAAGCGGGAGAATGGGGCGGGGTGATGAAAGGTGGGAAAATGGGGCGGGGTGATGAAAAGCGGGAGAATGGGGCAGGGTGATGGAATGCGGGAGAATGGGGCAGGGTGATGGAAAGCAGGAGAATGGGGCGGGGTGATGGAAAGCGGGAGAACGGGGCAAGGTGATGGAAAGCGGGAGAATGGGGCGGGGTGATGGAAAGCGGGAGAATGGGGCGGGGTCATGGAAAGCAGGAGAATGGGGCGGGGTGATGGAAGGAGGGAGAATGGGGCGGAGTGATGGAAAGCGGGAGAATGGGGCGGGGTGACGGAAGGAGGGAGAATGGTGCGGGGTGATGGAAGGAGGGAGAATGGGGCAGGTTGATGGAAGGAGGGAGAATGGGGCGGGGTGATGGAAAGCAGGAGAATGGGGCGGGGTGATGGAATGCGGGAGAATGGGGCGAGGTGATGGAAAGCGGGAGAATGGGGCGGGAGAATGGGGGGGGGTGATGAAAAGCGGGAGAATGGGGAGGGGTGATGGAAAGCGGGAGAATGGGGCGGGGTGATGGAAAGTGGGAGAATGGGGCGGGGAGATGGAAGGACGGAGAATGGGGCGGGATGATGGAAGGAGGGAGAATGGGGCGGGGTGATGGAAAGCGGGAGAATGGGGCGGGGTGATGGATAGCCGGAGAATGGGGCGGGGTGGTGGAAAGCGGGAAAATGGGGCGGGGTGATGGAAAGCGGGAGAATGGGGCGGGTGATGGAAATCGGGAGAATGGGGCGGGGTGATGGAAAGCGGGAGAACAGGTTGTGGTGATGGAAGGAGGGAGAATGGGGCGGGGTGAGGGAAGGAGGGAGAATGGGGCGGAGGGATTGAAAGCAGGAGAACGGGGCGGGGTGATGGAAAGCGGGAGAATGGGGCGGGGTGATGGAAAGCGGGGGAATGGGGCGGATTGATGGAAAGCGCGAGAATGGGGCGGGGTTATGGAAAGAGGGAGAATGGGGCGGGGTGCTGGAAAGCGGGAGAATAGGGCGGGGTGATGGAAAGCGAGAGAATGGGGCGGGGTGATGGAAAGCAAGAGAATCAAACAGGGTGATGGAAAGCGAGGGAATGGGGTGGGGTTCTGGAAAGCAAGAGAATGGGGCGGGGTGCTGGAAAGCGGGAGAATGGGGCGGGGTGCTAGAAAGCGGGGGAATGGGGCGGGGTGCTTGAAAGCGGGAGAATGGGGCGGGGTGATGGAAACCGGGAGAATGGGGAGGGGTGATGGAAAGAGCTTGCTTGGTCCAAGAGCTTGCCTGGTCCACGAGCATGCCTGGTCTAAGAGATTGCTTGGTCCAGGAGCTTACCTGGTCTTGGAGCTGGCCTGGCCCAGGAGCGTGCCAGGTCCTGGAGTGTGCCTGGTCCACGAGCGTGCCTAGTCCATAAGCTTGCCTCGTCCAAGAGTGCGCCTGGTCCAAGAGCTTGCCTGGTCCAAGAGCTTGCCTAGTCCAGGAGCATGTCTGGTCCTGGAGCTTGCGTGGTCCAGCAGCTTGCCTGGTCCAGGAGCTTGCCTGGTGAAGGAGCTTGCCTTGTCCAGGAGCTTGCCTGGTCCAGGAGCGTGCTTGGTCCAGTATTGTGCCTGGTCCAGAAGCTTGCCTGGTCCAGGAGCTTGCCTGGTCCAGGAGCTTGCATGGTCCAGGAGCTTTCCTGGTCCTAGAGCTTGCCTAGTCCAAGAGCTTGCGTGGTCCAGGAGCTTACCTGGTCCAAGAGCTTGCCTGGTCAGGAGCTTGCCTGGTCCACGAGCAGGCCTGGTCCAGGAGCTTGCCTGGTCCAGGAGTTTGCATGGTCCTGGAGCTTGCCTCGTCCAGGAGATTTCCTGCTCCAGGAGCTTGCCTAGACCAGGAGCTTGCCTGGTCCAGGAGCTTGCCCGGACGAGGATCTTGCCTTGTCCAGGAGCGTGCCTTGTCCAGGAGCTTGCCTGGTCCAGGAGCTTGCCTGGTCCAGGAGCTTGCCTGGTCCAAGAGCTTGCCTCGTCCAGGAGCTTTCCTGGTCCAGGAGCTTGCCTGGTCCTGGAGCTTGCCTGGTCAAGGAGCTTGCCAGGTCCAGGAGCTTGCCTGGTCCAGGAGCGTGCCTGGTCCAGGAGCGTGCCTGGTTCAGGAGCTTGCCTGGTCCAGGAGCGTGCCTGGTCCAGGATCTTGCCTGGTCCAGTAGATTGCCTGGTTCAGGAGCTTGCGTGGTGAAGGAGCTCGCCTGGTTTAGGAGCTTGCCTGGTCCAAGAGTGTGCCTGGTCGAGGAGTATGCCTGGTCCAGGAGATTGCCTGGTCCAGGAGCTTGCCTAGTCCAGGAGCTTGCCTGCTCCAAGAGCTTGCCTAGTCCAAGAGCTTGCCTTGTCCAGGAGCTTGCCTGGTCCAGGAGCTTGCCTCGTCCAGGAGCTTGCTTGGTCCAGGACCTTGCCTGGTCCAAGAGCTTGCCTGGTTTAGGAGCTTGCCTGGTCCATGAGCTTGCCTGGTCCAAGAGCTTGCCTGTTCCAGGAGCTTACCTGGTCTAAGAGCTTGCCTGGTCCAAGAGCTTGCCTCGTCTAGGAGCTTGCCTTGTCCAGGAGCTCGCCTAGTTCAGGAGCTTGCCTGGTCCAGGAGCGTGCCTGGTCCAAGAGCTTGCCTTTCCCAGGAGCTTGCCTGGTCCAGGAGCTTGCCTTGTCCAAGAGCTTGCCTGGTCCAAGAGCTTGCGTGGTCCAGGAGCTTGCCTAGTCCAGGAGCTTGCCTGGTCCACGAGCTTACCTGGTCCAAGAGCTTGGCTGGTCCAAGAGCTTGCCTGGTCCATTACCTTGCTTGGTCCAAGAGCTTGCCTGGTCCAGGAGCTTGGCTTGTCCATAAGCTTGCCTGGTCCAGGAGCTTGCCTGGTCCATTACCTTGCTTGGTCCAAGAGCTTGCCTGGTCCAAGAGCTTGGCTGGTCCAGGAGCTTGCCTGGTCCAGGAGCTTGCCTGGTCCATTACCTTGCTTGGTCCAAGAGCTTGCCTGGTCCAAGAGCTTACCTGGTCCAGGAGCTTGCCTGGTCCATTACCTTGCTTGGTCCAAGAGCTTTCCTGGTCCAAGAGCTTGCCTGGTCCAGGAGCTTGCCTGGTCCAGGGGCTTGCCTGGTCAAGGAGCTTGCCTGGTTTAGGAGCTTGCCTAGTCCAGGAGTGAGCCTGATCCAAGAGCTTGCATGGTCTAGGAGCTTACCTGGTTAAAGAGCTTGCCTAGTCTTGGAGCTTGCCTGGTTAAAGAGCTTACCTGGTCCACGAGCTTGCGTGGTCCAAGAGCTTGCTTGGTCGAGGAGCTTGCGTGGTCCAAGAGCTTGCTTGGTCCTGGAGCTTGCCTGGTCCAAGAGCTTGACTGGTCCAGGAGCTTGCGTGGTCCAAGAGCTTGCCTGGTCCAGGAGCTTACGTGGTCCAAGAGCTTGCCTGGTCCAGGAGCTTGCCTGGTCCAAGAGCTTGACTGGTCCAAGAGCTTGCGTGGTCCAAGAGCTTGCCTGGTCCAGGAGCTTGCGTGGTCCAAGAGCTTGCTTGGTCCAGGAGCTTGCCTTGTCCAAGAGCTTGCCTGGTCCAAGAGCTTGCCTGGTCCAAGAGCTTGCCTGGTCCAAGAGCTTGCCTGGTCCAAGAGCTTGCCTGGTCCAGGAGCTTGCCTGGTCCAGCAGCTTGCCTGGTCAAGGAGCTTGCTTGGTCCAGGAGCTTGCTTGGTCAAGGAGCTTGCCTGGTCCAAGAGCTTGCCTAGTCCAGGAGCTTGCCTGGTCCAGGAGCTCGCCTAGTCCAGAAGCTTGCCTGGACCAAGAGCGTGCCTGGTCCAAGAGCTTGCCTGGTCCAGGAGCTTGCCTGGTCCAAGAGCTTGACTTGTCTAGGAGCTTGCCTGGTCCAGGTGCTTGCCTGGTCTAGGAGCTTGCCTGGTCCAGGAGCTTGCCTGGTCCAGGAGCTTGCCTGGTCTAGGAGCTTGCCTGGTCCAGGAGTGTACCTGGTCTAGGAGCTTGCCTGGTCCAGGAGCTTGCCTGGTCCAGCAGCTTGCTTGGTCCAGGATCTTGCCTGGTCCACCAGCTTGCCAGGTCTAGGAGCTTGCTTGTTCCAGGAGCGTGCCTGGTCCATGAGCTTGACAGGTCGAGGAGCGTGCTTGGTCTAGGAGCTTACTTGGTCCAAGAGCTTGCCTAGTCCAGGAGCTTTCCTGGTTCAAGAGCTTGCCTGGTCCAGGAGCTTGCCTGGTTCAGGAGCTTGCCTGGTCCAGGAGCTTGCCTGGTCCAAGAGCTTGCGTGATCTAGGAGCGTGCCTGGTCCAAGAGCTCGCCTGGTCCAGAAGCTTTCCTGGTCCAAGAGCTTGCCTGGTCTAGGAGCTTGCCTGGTCCAGGAGCTTGCCTGGTCCAGGAGTGTGCCTGGTCCAAGAGCTTGCCTGGTCCAAGAGCTTGCCTGGTCCACCAGCTTGCGTGGTCCAGGAGCTTGCCTGGAGAAGGAGCTTGCCTGGTCCAGGAGCTTGCCTGGTCAGGAGCTTGCCTGGTCCAGGAGCTTGCCTGGTCCAGGAGCGTGCCTGGTCCAGGAGCTTGCCTTGCCCAGGAGCAAGCCTGGTCCAGTAGCTTGCCTTGTCCAGGAGATTGCCTGGTCCAGGAGCTTGCATGGTCCAGGAGCTTGCGTGGTCCAAGAGTTTGCCTATTCCAGGAGCTTGCCTGGTCCAAGAGCTTACCTGGTCCAAGAGCTTGACTGGTCCAGGAGCTTGCCTGGCCCAGGAGCTTGCCGAGTCCAGGAGCTTGCCTGGTCCAGGACCTTGCTTGGTTCAAGAGCTTGCCTGGTCCAAGAGCTTACCTGGTCCAGGAGCTTGCCTAGTCCAAGAGCTTTCTTGGTCCAAGAGCTTGCCTGGTCCACGAGCTTCCCTGGTCCAGGAGCTTGCCTGGTCTAGGAGCGTGCCTGGTCCAGGAGTGTGCCTGGTCCAGGAGCTTGCGTGGTCCAGGAGCTTGCCTAGTCAAGGAGCTTGCCTGATCCAAGAGCTTACCTGGTCCAAGAGCTTGACTGGTCCAGGAGCTTGCCTAATTTGCACGCCCACAACAAGTGGCTCCATTTAGTTCCATGTGGTTGGCAATATTTGAGCGCCCGAACTCTGCCTGGTACGCCCATTATACGTGCGCACACTGCCTTGACTACCCAGCGCATCACTTTGATTGGTCCGCTACACTAGATGCCTTATTTCTTTTGCTGGTCCCATTGATGAGACTATTTTGCACGCCCACAACAAGTGGCTCCATTTCGTTCCATGCGGTTGGCAAGATTTGAGCGCCGGAACTCTGCCTAGTACGCCCATTATAGGTGCGCACACTGCCCCGACTGCCCAACGCATCACTTTGATTGGTCCGCTGCATTGGATGCCTCGTTCTTCACCTTGATGAGACTAATTTGCACGCCCACAACAAGTGGCTCCATTTTGTTCCATGCGGTGGGCAAGATTTGAGCGCCCGAACTCTGCCTGGTACGCCCATTATACGTGCGCACACTGCCCCGACTACCCAGCGCATCACTTTGATTGGTCCGCTACATTAGATGCCTTATTTATTTTGCTGGTCCCCTTGATGAGACTATTTTGCACGTCCACAACAAGTGGCTCCATTTCGTTCCATGCGGTTGGCAAGATTTGAGCGCCCGAACTCTGCCTAGTACGCCCATAATAGGTGCGCACACTGCCCCGACTCCCCAGCGCATCACTTTGATTGGTCCGCTGCATTGGATGCCTCGTTCTTCACCTTGATGAGACTGTTTTGCACGCCTACAACAAGTGGCTCCATTTTGTTCCATGCGGTTGGCAAGATTTGAGCGCCCGAACTCTGTCTGGTACGCCAAATATAGGTGCGCACACTGCCCCAACTGCCCAGCGCATCACTTTGATTGGTTCGCTGCATTGGATGCCTCAATTTTTTTGCTAGTCCCCTTGATGAGACTATATTGCACGCCCACAACAAGTGGCTTCATTTCGTTCCATGCGGTTGGCAAGATTTTAGCACCGGAACTCTGCCTGGACGCCCATTATAGGTGCGCAGACTACCCCGACTACCCAGCGCATCACTTTGATTGGTCTGCTACATTGGATGCCTCATTTCTTTTGCTGGTCCCCTTGATGAGACTATTTTGCACGCCCACAACAAGTGGCTCCATTTCGTTCCATGCGGTTGGCAAGATTTGAGCGCCCGAACTCTACCTAGTACGCCCATTATAGGTGCGCACACTGCCCCGACTGCCCAGCGCATCACTTTGATTGGTCTGCTGCATTGGATGCTTTATTTTTTTTGCTTTTCCCCTTGATGAGACTATTTTGCACGCCCACAACAAGTG